TGTTTTACCATTTTTTACACTTACTGTCTCCCCTTTCCTCGGACACTGGATCGGCCCCTAGCTGCCAGAGACGTATAAAACCACATATGATTGGATACGAAGATATCCGTTTGCGCCAATAATACGTTTAATTGCTCCTCGTTTTCAAAATATTTAGTATCATTTGCGCCCATAATTAATAAATATGAATGTACCAATTTTTAGATGAAATCTTATTTCTATCAAAACAAAGAGTCCCCTTACTTTATCTGAGTTTACGCAGATAAAGTTTATAAGGTGCATGAAGTCCTTTAAAGACGTTAAATAGCACATTTTAAAAGGCCGGAGATAACTGACACAAACCTATTTCATATAGTCAAATGATATTAGATTGAACTGATGAAATATGTAACTAACATGCACATACACACATTTCCTCAGGCTTTTCATTCATCTGGAATTTTTGAATGGCAATTTTATTTCAATTCTGATTTATGCCAGTCGGCTTCTTACGTTTCTTTCATTTGTAGTGTAGACCGTGTAATGTTCGATGGAGGTAGTGTGTAGACTACAATTGTTGAAAATCTTTTGACAGAACTTAAATCACGATCCTGTCAACAAATGTGTCCAAACAGAGGAATTTCAAATATAAATATTAAGCTTCATAATCAAGATTTACAATGCCACATCACATAATATCATCAGGACCCCTCCGACCCCTCCCCCCATAGATCCTTATAGTGAAAAAAACGAAGCGTCACTCAATTGTTTTTTCCCCCGGTTTTTCATTGATAGGGGGACCTCGGTGGCCGCGCGAGTGGTCTAATTATTGTATCACTAGCCTGCCAACAATCCCCCCCCCCCTCCCCCACTGATCTGGGTTGTGAGTTCGAATTCCCGCACGTGGCAGGTGCACTCGACTCCAATCGTAATTGACTAGGATTGTCAGTTTTCCTGCCGGACACTCCGGCTTCCTCCACCAATTAAAAACGACCGCCACGAAATAGCACAATAGTGCTGAAAGTGGCGTTAAACACCAATCAATCAAGCATCATTGATAATAAAGGACTTCTATATATATATATGTGTATCAAACCAAATCAGTCATGTGATATATACATTTGATAACAATAATAGTTAAGGGTAGAAAATAGGGATGAGAGCAGATTCTGAGATCATACTCTTGAACCCATGTGCAGCTTGTACTGCATGAAACTATTTGTTGTGGCAAATGATTCCAGTCTATATATATAACTGTACGTTGATAAAATGAATATTTATAACTGTCTTTAGATGTTTGTATTTGCCTAAATGAGTGTGGATTGCTATGTCTGGTTCTATTGTCTAATAGGATCAAAAGGTTAAATATAGGGACTGCAACAATTTCGTGTATATTTTTGTAGAGGAAAACAATTCTGTATCTTAAACGCCTAATTTCAAGTGGGTACCAATTTAAGTCTGTCATCATTTCAGTAACTGAGCTGGTGTTATGGAAGCGCCGGGGCTGCTCTTCTCTGAACTTTTTCAATTTGTGAAATTTGCTGTTTTTGATGTGGATTCCAAATGGTTGAGCAGTACTCTGATTTTGTCGGACAAGAGCTTTAAATGCATGAGCTTTAACTTAAAGTGATTATGTAATTTGTAATTGAAGTCTAAAGGTTTTCGTTTTTGTGTTTAACTGAGAATGTTGCATTCATCACGATGAAAATGCATGAGCCAGTCCCGCTCCCATCTGCCGGCCGCTTCCAAATCAGACTGTAATTGTAATTTATATGTGTCATCTGGATTCTTAATTTCCCTATAAATAATGCTGTCATCTGCGAACAATCTTAATGTACTATGTTCAATTTATTCTGCCAAATCATTAATAAATATCAAGAATTAAATTGGTCCAAGCACTGTGCCTTCGGTTGTGGTACTCCAGATGTTACAGGAATTTTATTTGATGTTTCACCTTCAAGGACTACTGTTTGTGTTCTGTTTGTTAAAAAGTCTTGAATCCAATGTAATGCATTGCAATTTATACCATAGAAACCGATTTTATACATGAGGTTATGGTATGAAACTTTGTCAAATGCTTTTGCGAAATCCATTATTATGATGTCTGTTTAAAAGTTTTTATTATTTGAATTTGCAAGATCTTGAATAAATGATATTAACTGAGTTTCACAGGAACGGGATGACCGAAAACCATGTTGTAAGTCATATGATGACTCAGTGTAGGGCGACAAATATCTCTGGAATTAGACGCCACCAAAGAATTTTAAAATCAAAAGTATTAAGCTTTCTTTTATCGATCCCAATCTGTTAAAATTTTGTGTGAATTGGTTTTAAACATGTTAATAGCAAATTTGAGTTTTTGTAGGAAGTATGGTTCATGGAAAAACTACAGTATACCCAGAGACATATAATACAAGAGATTCGCAACTCGGCGAAATCCCGTAAAAACACGCGGCCACTAGTTAAACCTCGCGAGATCTCCTTAGGTAATAAAGTCATGAATAAAAGTATTAAAAGTACTCGAAGTAAGGACGAATGTTTAAGCATAACATAAACTGTTTCAGTGTTAAATTTATCATAATTAATTAAATAATTTGAGTTCATATATAATTATTTATTTTAATGTAATTTTGATTTAAGATTTGTATTATAGAAAAAGAGACATAATTTGATATTGTATTTAAAAAAAAACTGATAGTAAATAATTAACACTTGATAAATTGTGTCAGAGTTCATTTTATTTGATAGTTTCATAATAGGTTTCCATTGAATATACACCTGTCTCGGAGACATAATTTCACAGTGTGACATGTATATTAGGTTTGAATTATTCGATGACCAGGTAAATCACGAACATGTTATAAATAATGAGTTTTAATTGACATCCTGTAAACAAGAAGTTGTTACACCACAGGTGTCCACACACGATTTCCAAAAATACAATTCACAAAATGTAAAATTAATTAATGTGGAAAAAAAGTTAATTTATTTGTTAATTAATTGTTAATCATGAAAAGCTTTGTTTTCTATTCTTGATATTTATAAATTATTAAAATTTTATTTATTTTTATATTCATCATTAATTGGGCTTGCATTGAGTTTTTTCTGTGGGATTGCCGGTAAATGTTTGATTTCTATGAGTTGTTTGACAGTTTCTTCATAGGCTTGCATTGAGTTGTTTTTTAATTGATTGTCGGTAAATTTATGGTTTCTTCATGTTCGAAGTGTGTATTGAGAATTAATATTTAAGAAAATTACATTTAATTTCTCATTTGAATAAAGCTTCATTCATGTGCACGCAATATGGAAAATTCCGATTTTATTTCGTGGGATGACAATCTTACTACTTAGATACTCTCCTAGTTGAATAAACTGATAACGAACTCTTTGTTGATAGTGAAAGTGACGAAGACATAAGCGAGAGACCCACCAACAAAAGCAATTGACAATACTGCATACATAGATGGATATGTGTGTCCTCGAAGCAACAAAAAATCTATAAAAAAACACAACATTGAAGTGGGAGCCGAGGTCATACATCAAAGCAACATGGAAGACACTATTTAAAAAGTTTTTTATAACCTTTTTTCCACGAGACAATCATTTGTAGTGGTTTTTGTCTTTAAATCATTTGTAGTGGTTTTTGTCTTTTTTATTCTGGGGTAAAGAGATGGCAGTTTAAAAGTAAGTGTGTATACATATACAAATCCTTGGTGTAAATACATTTTTTTATTATCAAATATATATATATATATATCTTTTGCAGTCACCATTGAAATGTCCTTAAATACGATTTTAATTTAAAAATGAATAAGTTCATGATTGAATGAGAAGCGTAGTCTGAAACGACAACAGATGCATGAAGCTCATTCATAATATTACGACCAGCAGAAGGTTTCCTTTACTAGGAAAATTTTACTCCTTTTGTAAATTTACTGCATTCGTTCATCTTTGGCACGCCACCCTAAAAGGAAGAAAAAAACAATGACTTCAGAATAGGAGAAAATAAACAACTTTGCCATAAACAGAATGAAAAATGAATAAATTGCCAAACAAAATGCAGGCTATAAATTTCATAGTGCACAAAAATGAAGAACTGATTTAAGGAAATTTGTCCATGAACAATTTCAATATTTAGCCAGTTTAATAAAAAAAAAAGAAATTGGGAGTAATATATATCCCCATAATATGACATATTTATTTGTAAATTTCTAGTTTTGACGAAACAGATTGAAATAATTAGCATAGCTGGCTTTGTGTATAAATGTTGATAATTTTGAAAAAAAAACACTTTGGGATCAAATTTTACGAAAATAGTCTTATTTTCACGAAACAACATTTAGGAGTATTATTGCCCCATAGAATTATATATTTATCAGCATATTTCCAAGTTTAAAGAAAAAAATTGGGAGATCAAATGGTTTCTACGGCAATAGGTGAAGTAAAATGGGCCGAGTTTTAACTTTGTTTGTATTTGATTAATCTCATCATTAGAACACATTTTATCAATATAAATTATTAGAATTCGTTTTTTGTAATTTTTAAATATACTTGCATGCTTTAGCTGTGAAAAGTATCGGCATTATCCATTATAAAAATCGTTAGGCGTAGGACCTTTTTCACAACAATGGCGGATTTTACCCAAAAATCCATCGGTATAATCGGCTTTCCGGTGGCCAAGTCATTTCATTGGCTGTTGTATAGACTCCACTAGAGTTGCGAATCTCTTGTATTATATGTCTCTGGTATACCATAATACGACGATCCCTCACTGCATGGCATCTATTAAAGACGGGTTTCGGTAGTACCACACTTATGAGTATATGCACAAATGAGACAAATTACACTTTTCCCATAGTTACAAAACCACATCCTATCGAAAATTATGATACAATGAAGCCCTCCAAAGGTTTTTAGAAAGCTGAAACTTGTATGTTTTAATTTAGCATTTATGGGCATACAGACTATTTATCACAGGACCGTATTGCAATCTATGAAGCGTGACAAGGGACATGACTCAGATAACGCATCACGTGAACATTTTATCACATGATTTGGTTCGATTTATAAAAGTCCTTGTCAGCCGGTATCTTTCTTTGCATTTACTGGAATCTCACCATGAAGGCATTAAATATTTTTTTGTGCGTCCTGCTTGTAAGCGTTTGCAGTGCATTACAGAGGTAAGGTGTCACAAACTTCGTGCATGCATACTTTTTACAAATACAACTCCCTTAGTCACGGGACTTGCATAGGCCATAGTGCATATACATTTTCTTGTCTGTCTTTCTACCAATACTGTAAATAAAACAGTTTGTCATACTTTATAAAATCTTTTTCGATGAATAATAATTGAAACTAATGACAAGTACGAAGTAGTCGCTTGAGAAAAAAAGGGGGAGGGGGCCTTGTAAGTGGTGTTTTTTTCTTCTATCAAGGTCGTTTTGTACTAAGCAAGACATCGATCTGAATAAACATCGTTATTAAGGAGGTACTGTACCAGTAATAAAATAAAGTAAGTTAAAAACATTCATCTGAATGGTTTCGCCCCATGTGCAATGTGAGTCGTTACACCCTAATTCCTGTTTACACTTGAGTAGTTTCACCAATTTTATAGATTAATGTTTTTTGGTCAAGACAGCACCACTGATATCGTGGTTGCATGTTTGCTTAAAGTGAGGGAGGTCTTTGGTTCGATCCTGATCCTGGTCTAAGCTTGTTTTACATTTGTCATTTCGGGTCTTTTATAGCTGACTATTTGGTATGGGTTTTGCACAATGTTGAAGGCCATATGGTGACCTAAAGTTGTAAACTTCTATGTCATTTGGTCTCTGATGAAGCATTGTCTCATTGGCAATCGTACCACATCTTCTTATTTTTATATTAAAGGCTTGAAAATTGGTATTTATACTTTGCTGCTGCTTCGCTAAGCACATGACATTTAGAACTAACAGCAGGAAATTGAAATTTACAAGTGGTAGCCCAGCCAAACTATTTTGGTGGCCCACTCCAGTCTTATCATTATAATATATATGATCAAGCAAAATAGTGTAAAAAATTGCCATCCCTGTATTATAAGACAATCAATGTGAAGGAATTCATTGTACAATAAACGCTTACTGTGACTTATCTATCATTGTCCGTAATGTATAAAAATGAAAATAAAATAAAACTCTACATATATGTTTGGAATATGATGACCCACTGGTATGTGTGTTTTTGTGGTTGTTTCAGTATCAGATAATATAATGACTTGATGAATTCAATACTCAGGTTCAACATGTTCAATAGGGCCCAAATAAAATTTAGGTTGTTTGATGTTGCCTACCTACCCACCTAAAAAGCAGCCTACCCAAAAGATTTTATGACACAAATTGGTTCAATTTTTTTTTTGAAAGATTTTTGTATGGCTCTCAGTCTAACATCGTTTTCTTGTCTAAAACATGTAACCTATGTTTTTTGCCAAAAAAAAAAAATCCCTACCTACCTACCCAACCCTAAAAGGCATGGGTACTAGGCAACATCAAACATAGAATTTTTTAAGGGTTGCCTAGCAGTAATGTTAACTCTAATGTGTTAAGACATGAGACACTATGACTTCTGAGGCTAATGATAAAGAGATTCAATACTTTACAAATCCATATGATTGCCTATAAGACAACTATGCACCAAGTTCAAATGACGAAAGATATAAGCAATTATAGGTAACCCTACGGCCTTCAACAATGAGAAAAACACAAAATCCCATATACAATGTAGGAAACCTCATTCATTTTCATGTCCATTAATTTATATTAAATTCACCGACTTTAATATGCTGATATGCAATGCTACATTTGTATATATATAGTGGGTTTCCAAGTTTCATTGCAAAACATTTTACTGCTTTTCAAAACATGCTGATTGTGGACAGCATGACTAGATGAGGAAACAACTCGTGTTCATTTATTCATTCTTGTTTCACAAGGACTGAAGGAGATTGTCCACAAGATCATAATTGACATGATTGAAGGAAATATAGAGTTAGTAGTTACGCTACAGTAAAAAGATAAGAAGATGTGGTATGATTGCCAATGAGATAACTATCCATATTAATGACCAAATGACAATGATGTGAACAATTATATGTCACCATAGTGACACATACATGTATGTTCTTCAACAATGAGCATAACTTATACTGTATACCAATTAATCATGGTATTTATCTATAAAAGGATTAATATGTGTGAAAAATTTCAGAAAAGAAACTCAATGTCTTAATTTATCCTTCAACAATGAAAGAAAAACAAATTATGTCAGAGAGCAACAAATGGATTGCAGGTTCCTGGGTTGAGACAGGAACTTATATGAAGAATGTGATGATAGTGCCAATAGGCAAAACAAATACATTTCCTACATAAACTCTTATCTTTCAGAATCAAACTGAAAAAGTTTAAGACAGTGAGAAGAACTTTAGCAGAATTTGGCACATCAATAAAAGCTTTGGAATGGAGATATGGCTCAGATCAGATTAGAGGACCCGCTCCTGAACCCCTGGTAGACTATATGGATGTGAGTAGTCTTTATTATTGAAGAAGAAATTGGCATTGTTCTGCACTGCAGCTTGTGTAGACCTGTCCAGGTTGGAAATTGACACCTTCATGACGAATAAGGGTAAAAATTCTTGCCAAATGAGGTTAACAGTAATTTTTGGTGCATGACGATAAAATGTACACTTTCTTTTAGACGATAAAAAAATCAACTGATTTTGACGAATCACGTTAAATTTTTTCCAAAAATAACGGTAACGATAATTATTTGAGACCTCTGACGAATCACGATAAGGATATTTTGACGAATCACGGTAAAATTTTAACCAATTTGACAGTAACGGTAGCCAAAAATGACCGTTTGACGGTAAAGGGCATTCCTAACCTCTAGAATGTCCCCTGTGCCTATTTATAGATTTGACCAGACATTTCTTTTCTTTCATGATAAGAATTGAACTTACTAAACTATATTTATATATATATATATATTTGAAAAATTAGTTTAGTTTTAGAATTTAATATTTTAAAAGAAATTAAGGTAAAATTTGGGTTGGCAGGAGAAGAAGTGGGTTGCCCATCGTTGAAAGGGAGACCATTCTAATGGCAGTTTACAAGCTACTTGCACAGTAAAACCTACAATTATGTTATTCTTTTCAGGCACAATATTATGGTCCAATCACAATAGGAACACCTCCACAGACGTTTAATGTTGTTTTTGATACTGGATCATCTAACTTGTGGGTACCATCAAAGAAATGTCACATCACTGACATAGCTTGCCGTAAGTATGGTGAACTTAATTTCTTAAGGCAATAAATACATTAATTGGAATTACTAAATACTTAGACATAAGAAGATGTGGTATGAGTGCCAATGAGACAACTCTCCATCCAAGTCACAATTTGTAAAAGTAAACCATTATAGGTCAAAGTAAGGCCTTCAACACGGAGCCCCAAAAATGATTAATGTAAAACCATTCAAACAGGAAAACCAACGGTCTAATCTATATAAAAAAACGAGAAACACTTATGAACCACATCAACAAACGACAACCACTGAACAACAGGTTCCTGACTTAGGACAGGTGCAAACAAATGCAGCGGGTTTAAAAGTTTTAACAGGTGCCAACCTTCACCCTAACCTGAAACAATAGTGTAACATCACAACATAGAAAGACACACTATAAAATATCAATTGAAATGGCTTAACTCAATCAAAAGACATATTAACAAAAACAAGTAAACATACACTGAACGAATAAAATTGATCTATGCTTGAGCACAGTGTAACGACATCAAAATTGCAGATCTTAGTTTACCAGTAGTCCAAATAATTGTGACGTCTTGTAAGGCTATTTTCATTTTGTTGTTGTGAAGCCTTGTAGGAAGGCATCAAAGCAAAAAAATAGAAACAGCCTTACAAGATGTCATAATTATTTTGACTAAGTTCATCAGTAGTTTAATCAATGTTTTTTTTTAAGTATTTTAGATATTGCCAAATTCTTTCAAAGACAGATGATAATTAGCATTGGTCACCATGGTCACTGCTTACTTTTTAGTTTCCCTCACATTAATTATAAATTGCTCATAATGACTAAATTGTACTCCATTTGCCAGAGTATCAGGGGGTTGGTTTCAGAAATGGTATTGCAGAATGAAGTTTTGATTTGTTTTCACTGCATACAATCCTCCTGTCTGTTTTGACTTATAATATATAATAAATAATGTGGAGGAACTGTTCTTCCTGGGTGTTAATCTGTGTGGTTTCAAATTTATGGTTTTGAAATTTACACATTCAGATAGAAAATATGTATTTTGTTTGGTATGAAATTCTGTGATTTGATGCAACTACACAATGTATGAAATTCATGAAAATTGGTACCCCTCAAACAGTAATAGAAGTATAAATTACTCAAATATACAGGAGACTTTTTCTGTTATTATTTATAGCCTAAAGTTCGATAAGTCAAAGAACAAAGATACATTGAAGTCACATTTTTAATATCATGTCTAATTAGATTCATACTTTATATTTACTTTTCCAGTATTACACCAGAAATATGACAGCACACAGTCGAGTACTTATGTGAAGAATGGAACTGCTTTTTCTATTAGATATGGAACAGGAAGTTTGACTGGTTTCCTTAGCACTGATTCAGTAACAGTAAGTCTCTATATGAAAAATCAAACAAATTAAGGCTCCATTGCCAGTAGATTTTTGTCTTCCTTCTGTCCCATTTTTGTATCCTCTACTGCTCATGAACGGCTTGTTAGAAATTTATGAAACGTTCATCGAATCTGACTCACGTAATGTACTTTTGCACTTCCTAATTATTTCATCATCAGAAGGATTTTTTGGGTTAACTTATGCATGACATGGACTTTGTCATATCTGCATCCATTTCTGTTCTTAAACTTCGTATCAGAACTAATGGAAACTTTCTCAGAATCATCATCATAGTATGCCATTATGCCTTTGTGCACCTTCTATTTTGTTTTTTTTTATCTTATTATTTTTTCACGTTTCCCCTTGTAGTTATGGAATTTGCCATTGCTTATCTGACATCTAACTATTCATTCTTGCAAAGCTAAGTGCATAAGAAAATTTAGGAAAAATGAAAAGATAAAAGGTAATGGATGCTAAATGACGGGTAGGGCTAGGCAAGGAAATGTCCTTTTATGGCAAATCTGGATTTTCCCCTTTTAATTCTTAGGAAATAAGCATTTTCAAGCTTAACATTTTTAGCTCACCTGGCCCGAAGGGCCAAGTGAGCTTTTCTCATCACTTGGCGTCCGTCGTCAGCGTTAACTTTTTACATTTTGAACTTCTTCTAGAGAACCACTGAATGGAATGAAACCAAACATGGCATGAATGTTCCTTATGAGGTGCTGACCAAGTGTAGTTACTTTGTAGCCGATCCATCATCCAAGATGGCCGCCATCGGGGAACTTAGTTTAACATAGGACCCTATGGGAAATACATACAAATGTCTTCTTTTAGAGAACCACTGAATGGAATGAAACCAAACATGGCATGAATGTTCCTTATGAGGTTCTGACCAAGTGTTGTTACTTTGTAGCCAATCCATCATCCAAGATGGCCGCCAGTGGGGGACTTAGTTTAACATAGGACCCTATGGGAAATACATAAAAATGTCTTCTTTTAGAGAACCACTGAATGGAATGGAACCAAACATGGCATGAATGTTCCTTATGAGGTGCTGACCAAGTGTTGTTACTTTGCAGTCGGTCCATCATCCAAGATGGCCGCCAGCGGGGTACTTAGTTTAACATAGGACCCTATGGGAAATACATACAAATGTCTTCTTTTAGAGAACCACTGAATGGAATGAAACCAAACATGGCATGAATGTTCCTTATGAGGTGCTGTCCAAGTGTTGTTACTTTGCAGTCGGTCCATCATCCAAGATGGCCGACAGCAGGGGACTTAGTTTAAACCCAAAGAACTTCCACCAGGAGGAATGACAAATCATTGAATTATCACCAGTGATAATGAGGTTTCCAGATGCACTTCAGCCATTAAAAATCAAATACCTTGTAGCTTACACTACACAGATGTATTAGCATCATATTTCACTTCATTGATAAAAACACAATATTTTGTAGTTTTAGACGATTTATAATTACACAAGTTAAACACAGTTTACTGTTATTCCCACATATGCCCCATATATTGGATTCCAACAGGATTAGGATAAAGTTCTCTAACAAGTTCCAAAACACACTCAGGCATAATTTCCCGCTGGTGCATAACAACCCATTCACCACCACCAACTCTTTTCTTTTTATCCAAATACTGTGGAAGTAACCACCCATACATATTGTTTATACATTTCCAAAATCTTCTATATATCCCTTTTCGTATCTGGGGGTTTGCATTTGAGGGTGGTTGGCCATTTCCTACCCATGGAGCTGTAATGTTTGAGGTAGCAACACATGGGTTGATGAAACAATAAGGACATTGTCCTTCTCGTAATTCAAGGTCTCCATGGCCTGGATCTGGATCTCCATTGTCACCATTGTCATCTCTGTCACTACTTTCATCCTGATTGTTTCTTTGGCTCGAAGAAGTACTTCCACTTTCATCCTTTTTAGACCTTTTTCTCTTTAAAGATTTCTTTTCTAAAATAAAATTGCAGTCATAAATAATAAAATACATATAAACATTATGATATGCATTCTTTACATTTATATTTGTCACATGATTATACAATATAATAACATAATCTAATTTAAAAGATAAATGACATCTTATTTAAATAAATATTCACCTTTACAGAATAATGTTTTATTGAAATATCTATAAAGTAAATGAATAAAAAAATTAATATACCGTTAAATTCGTTAAATAAGCCGCAGGTTTTTTTCTCTGTCATTGTCCCTGCGTGTTATACTCAGGTGCGCTTTATGTACGTATATTTTCAGTGTTTCAGGGCAAGTGTGAAAAAAAAATTATATCTGGATTTTTTTTATGGAGACCTTCAGATTGTCAAGTGCTTGCAGTGACTTGATAAATTGTTCATGTGGCATATTTTGTTATGAATAAAAATATATATACTTTATCATTTGTTCTTTATTTCATTGTTGGCTTACGAAGTTGATAACCATGAGTGTTCATTACATAAACAAAGAAAGATAACTGTGTTTGAAAGAGGTACCATACAGGATATTAATTGTGTATTTACAATAAATATGTAATGGTTTGTTGTTTTAATGTGTTTTTAAATAAAATCTCCTAAAGGAATAGTAAAGGAAGTGATTGTGTTTCTTTCCAATATTTCAAGTCTCTTTTAATGACGATGGTGATAACCATGTGCTGAAATGAACCCTTTAAAGTGTTTCATAAACAAAGAAAGATAAGCGTGTTTGAAAAGAGGTACCATACAGGATATACTATTGAGGAGTAACTGCTTTTCGTTTTATTGTGTTTCAAAATGAAATATCTTCATGAAATATTGTAGCTACATATTATCGGATGTATGAAATGAAGAAAAGAATATTAATTTTCATAATTTAATATGCTATGACATTTATATATCGCCGTCTTATTTGAATTCCCCTTTCCGTGGCCCATCTCACTTTCAGTTAAAAATAGACAATGACTTGCAGAAACTGAATGGTTTTGTTCGTAGTATTCAACCAAGTTTAAATTTAAAAATGTTTGAAGCTAATAAACTAAAACTTTTATTTTATAGACAACAATAAAATTCTTCAAATTTAATTTGATAATTTGTTTTCCCCTGACTTATGCGTGACCAGTTAACATGTGGCTACAGGTATACCTGGTATTACATAATAATCAAGGTAAACAATGGCAGTTTTATGGCTTGAGTGACCTTTAATGAATACATTTTCAAGAAAGATTAAAATCCTTGATTCCAATTGAAACAATTAACGAGCAATCAACACCAAACTAATTTTAATCAAAACAACAAGTTCAATGGACACCAACGCTGTCAACACATGGCCATTGTTGACAAAAACAACTAATGAATCTGGCGTCATTAAAACAATAAAAAAAGTATAATAATTTTATTAACATTTTTTATTTTAATATGAAACAAATACATATAATCAAAATGCCTTTCAACTTTCTCAACAATCTGAAAATAGAAATGAAACATGTTACGCAGTGAGTTACAAAAACGAGTGAACATTCATTACTCTAAGGTCAGTAGAATGCATACTACGTTTTCATTAGGGTGCGCTTTATATTCAGGTGCGTTTTATGTAAGGAAAAAAACACTTCTTCCCCCAAAAAACGGCCGTGCGCCTTATTTAGGGGTGCGTTTTATTTTCCGCAAAATACGGTACTTACCAACAATACATGATGTCATATTGTGCTCTTTCAAAAATATCATCAATTTATCCTTTTCCTCTTCATTTACTTTCAAAACCATTTCACATCTTTTTTCCATCTTTGCTTTTGCACTTTCTTCCATTTTTGCTTTTACATTTGACCTTATCTAAGTCATGTGATTATATGTTTGAATTTGATTGGTCTATTAAATTTTGCGCCTAATTTTTCAATTTGAAATCAAATCTGATTGGCCCAGATCATTTTTCAAAGTCATGTGATTTATAAACTTTGAATTTGATTGGTTTGCTCATTGATGCGCTTATATTCTTTCAATTTCAAATCAAACATAGTATTTTGTTCCTGTATACAATAAGTTCCAAGATAGCTAGCGATATGAATATACTAAGTAATATCACAAATTATGTGGAGTATTTTAATAGAAAGAGACTTTCAAATGGAGAAGTAAAATCATACAAATATGTTAGAAAACCTCGAAAATCCATTGACTACAATTTTGACAATGATTCACAAAAGTTGGCATTTGATGAAAAATATGAAGGCCTAAAGAGGAAAATGAAAGTAAAATCTAATGTGGACATTTTGAACATTTTGATGGACTTTTACAATCAGAACTGTTCAACTCCAAAGCTGGAAGAAAGAATAAAACCAATTGATAATAGTGGACAGGATGACCAAGACCTTTTTGTTTGCTCAAAACAGAAACTGTTTGAACTGGTACGTCTATCACAGTGGTATGGTCCCCTTGAATCGTCCGAAATGACAAAAATTGGACACGTTGCCAGACTAGTTGTTAAACCAGTTAAAACCACATCTTTTCCGATTTTCTGGCATTCCTCCTCCGCACTGAAGCAGGACTTTACAGTGAATTACAAGTTGATTCATTCTTATCTCTGTGCTGGGATGTTTCCTGCCCAATACGAACGATTTAGTAGTTTTGCTAACATTGGACTTCCACAGAAACGATTCCGTGAAAAAATGTTTCCAACATTCAGACAGGTGGTGATATCGCTTCGGGACAAGAGCATTGATGATGCTTTAAAAGAGGAAAAAAATAAAAATTCTTACAGTGATAATAAACTTGACATTATGACAGATGCAAGACATGCATGCAGAAAGAACAGTTTTCACACTGATGTAACAGCTCTGGGAAACTTGACTCATAAAGTAGTAGGATATAGTCACGTTACTAAGAACCAGGAAAGGAGTTCCCAGAAACATGAAACTTATGGAACAGAAAAGCTATACGAAGATTTCGAAAGGAAAAGGATAAAAGTGAAAGTTCATTCGCATGATAGAAATGCATCTGTCAGTAAATATCTGAGCCAAAACCAACCAGATGTAATTGATTCCTATGACACTTGGCATGGTGCAAAGGAGGTGCGCAGGAATATGGCAAAAATTACAAAGGGGACAAGGAAAAACTTCGGAAAGACATGGCATCCGGAACTAAGAGACAAATCCGCTGGTGTTAAAACCCATGTTTACTGGGCAATGAAGAACTGTAATGGCAATGCTGCTCAATTAGTGCTCTTGCTTGATTCCATTGTGGACCACTACAAACAAGATCATAGGAACTGTCATCAAACATCTAGATGCAAAAATAATGACTATGTGCCATCACGAGACATTATTCGGGATCCAACAGCAGAGTTGTTGCTAAGGAACAGTATTAAAAACCTTTATATTTATAAGCATCCAGAAAAGTATACACATTGTCGTGACACTCATTATATTGAGAGTTATCATAATACAATTCTTATACATGTGGATAAAAGGTTACATTATCATAATTTAATGTATGAAATTAAGTTGGGACTATCAATACTTGATTGGAATGAACATGTTGATAGACCTGCTTCATCTGTACAACACCGTGTGCAACATGACCATGCACGTCGACAATCTGGATATCGGGTTTTGACACCAAAACAATATACTTTTACAGATGAATTATGGAATAACTTTGTAAATCTGTTATATCATGACCGCAATGACCAAATTGAGCCTGATGACGTTGAAAATGTACAAATAGACCAAAATGATGCAATTGGTAGTGAATATGATGATTCAGATGATGATGAATAAACTGTGATATATCTTTATGTATAATTTATTAGTATAATTAAATTATTGTGTGTGCATTTTTGTCTTCTTTGTTAATTGAAAAAACAAAATATTGATCCCAAAATTTTTAATTGCAAAAACTTATGAAACACAAAAAATAAGATGATTTCACACAATACTGTAAACTCTGAAAATGTAGATAAAAAATACAAATTTAGATGCATAACACACTAACATGTGATGATGCTCAAGGCCAAAATGATGATTTAATCAACCATTACCTAAATTATTGAAGACCAAATAAAAAACTGTCTAAGGACAAAGTTATGCAGGGGGAGATTCTCCTTATTTTCCCATGAAATTTGAATAAAATCAACAACAAAGAAACAGGTTTCGATTTTGATAAACTTTCAAACATTTACTGTGAAAACATGAAAAAATTTGAATTTACAGAATGATGCATAGACATTAAACTTTAAAATATCAATTATTTATCCAAAGAATGGACTTACAATCTACACAGGTATACAGAGAGTTTATCCCATAGTATAACTTCAAAAGATAATTATGTGTAAAACGCTCTACAGTAGAAATGTCTTTATTGAAACTTTACACACATTTGTTTTGGTAACATTCCACTTCAACATTTGTAGCTGTACCTAAATGACTGCCATTAATAACCTTTAACAAGACAGATACTGTATTACCCCACTTTCACTATCAGCTGGAGATGGCAAGTAACTTGTGATAAAACTTGGACACTGACAGCTATGTTCTTGGGGTTTAACATAGGACCCTATGGGAAATACATACAAATGTCTTCTTTTAGAGAACCACTGAATGGAATGAAACCAAACATGGCATGAATGTTCCTTATGAGGTTCTGACCAAGTGTTGTTACTTTGTAGCTGATCCATCATCCAAGATGGCCGCCAGCGGGGGACTTAGTTTAACATAGGACCCTATGGGAAATACATACAAATGTCTTCTTTTAGAGAACCACTGAATGGAATGAAACCAAACATGGCATGAATGTTCCTTATGAGGTGCTGACCAAGTGTTGTTACTTTGCAGTCAGTCCATCATCCAAGATGGCCGACAGCAGGGGACTTAGTTTAACAAAGGACCTATGGGAAATACATACAAATGTCTTCTTTTAGAGAACCACTGAATGGAATGAAACCAAACATGGCATGAATCTTCCTTATGAGATGCTGACCAAGTGTTGTTACTTTGTAACCGATCCATCATCCAAGATGGCCGCCAGCGGGGGACTTAGTTTTACATGGACCCTATGGGAAATACATAAAAATGTCTTCTTTTAGAGAACCAATAAATGGAATGGAACCAAACATGGCATGAATGTTCCTTATAAGATGTTGACCAAGTGTTGTTACTTTGCAGTCGATCCATCATCCAAGATGGCCTCTTAGGGGGGGGGGGGGGGGCTTAGTTTAACATAGGACCCTATGGGAAATACATACAAATGTCTTCTTTTAGAGTACCACTGAATGGAATGAAACCAAACATGGCATGAATGTTCCTTATGAAGTGCTGACCAAGTGTTGCTACTTTGTTGTTGATTTACTGTTCAAGATGGCCACCAGGATATTTTATTAAATAAAGGGACCAATATTAATCAAAATTTGGCCTCAATCATTATTTGGGTATCTGTTATGATTTTTATCTATCTTTACATGATTTCTAAAACCAAAGTAGAGTCAGGTGAGCGACACAGGCTCTTGAGAGCCTCTAGTTATTTTTGTTAAAAAAAATAGATTAAGGGGAAACACTCTATTTTAACAGGAATTAGGGATTCAGAATTATATCAAGTATCTGTTAAAAGTTCTAATTATGATGCATATTTGGTGGCCTTGAGCTGTTTTCTGCTCTTTGGTTCGGGTTGTTGTCTCTTTGACACATTCCCCATTTCCATTCTCTATTCTATTATTGATTTAACTTTTCGTATCTCTTGAGGTTTAGGGATGAAAGGCTGCCTACTGCCCTTCATTTATTAAAAATTAAAGATGTTTCATTGGAAAAGAAAAATTGCATTTTAGACATTATCAGTATTATTAAATTAAGCCTAATTAATTTTGTTTTAAAAGATGAGAAGGAAGAGGTCTAATATATTCTATCCATTCTTTATGAAGTGGTTTAAATTTTAAGTGAAATGAATTTTGGGGGAGGTATATAAAATGTTGCTGTGCTTTCTTCAACTGTTTCATTAATAAGATTTAAAGTGAAACCTTTTAATTTTTACTTCATAGATTGGAAACATCACTGTGAAAGGTCAGACTTTTGCTGAAGCAGTTACCCAGCCTGGAATTACATTTGTGGCAGCCAAATTTGACGGTATTTTAGGAATGGCCTATGAGAGAATTTCCGTAGATGGTGTTACACCAGTTTTCTATAACATGGTTAAACAGAATTTGGTGCCAGCACCAATTTTTTCATTTTACTTAGACAGGTATGAAATACTTCTGCGCAGTTTTAACAAATTCTTGTTGTTTAAGGTGGTACCAAACACCTTGACTAAAATTTATTTGGCTTGTTTAATTTTCATAAAATTTTGCCAAAATATTTACTTTGACCCTTTGACAAAAAAATAAAACTTTCAAAAAACTTGAACCACACACTTTATCGGAAAAATTTCATTGAATATATAGCAGTTTGACAAACACTAATTTTGATCATTGAGAAGCTTAATATTTCCTCAACAATAGAACATGATTAAAACATTCAGCTGATTTTTACAGAGTTATCTCCCTGTAGTGTTATGTACCACCTTAAGTAAGTAGTGACATTTTAGAATTGAAGCACTGAAATGTTTTACCATATTAAGATATTGAAGATTCAAGTCCTTTAGGAGTTTACAAATCTTCAAGATAACAATGGAGTTGACACAAGTGTAAATTTCCATTGAATTCACAGGTATTATCATATATGCTACTAACTTTACATTTACTACAGTTGAAAGTATATATGATTACATGTACTTGAAACTCAGAATAGTTTACAATTTTACATTCAAGTAATAAATTCAATCCTTTGGTCTCTATTAATTAGTTGTCTCATTGGCAATCATACTACATCTTCTTATTTTTTTCAATCAAGTAGAAAGCATGAATCTAAAAGTCATATATGTTGCTTTGGAGGGCCTTGGTGGCCGAGTGGTCTAAGTAGTTAATCTACAGCAATCCCTAGCCCTCAACACTGAGGTTGTAAGTTTCAAACCCTGGACATGGCAATATCTTTCGACTGATATTGACTTGGAATGCCAGTATACCTTCCAAAGGTCATGGTTCTCTACGGGCACTCACGCTTCCTCAACCAATAATAACTGACTGCCACAAAATAGCCAATAGTGCTGAAAGTGGTTTTAAACACCAACAATCAATATATCAATTTTGCTTTGGATAGGTAAAAAACTTATATTGAGAACTGAAATAAAGGCATATCAGAAGAAAAAAAGCAGTATCATAATCAGAACACCAACATTATGCAGCAGTTGGTCTGTAGAACTGTTTCTGTAACCAGATATATAACTGTGTTTTCCAAAATAAAAAGTTTTTAAGTAGATTTTATAGGTGAAACACTCTTATAAATGGTACTGGAAATATCAATCAGTATCTGCAGTCCACTATAAACTCATGATATATTTTTTCAGAGATCCCACTGCAAAGGAAGGTGGAGAGCTGCTCCTAGGAGGCAGTGACCCACAGTTGTACAAAGGAAACTTCACATATGTTCCAGTCACCACACAGGCATACTGGGAATTCAAAATGGACGGGTAATCTATTGATATTGATAATGTAGTTGAAAAAGGATAATTTTTAAATTTAAAGAAGTTTATGGTTCATGTCTTTTATATTTGTTTTTTCGTAAATTGTTTTGATTTAAAGTGAGGTGTTATTTTTCTTGTTTGAATTGTTTCACATGGGCCTTTTAAAGCCGACTATAGGGTATGGGTTTTTTCTCATTGTTGAAGGCCTACGGTGGCCTATAATTGCTTGCATCCACTTCATTTGAACTTAGGTGGATAGTTGTATCATTGGCAATCATACCAAATCTCCTTATTTTTACAGTTTAGCTATAAAGTCAGATAACTTATTTGGTCTTAATACAAATCAAGATGAATAACTTGATAACCCATTAGAAATCCATTTTACTGCACTTTAGCTTTTGCCCTTGACAAAATTTTGTCAAGGGCAAAAGCTAAAGTGCAGTAAAATGGATTTCTAATGGGTTATCATTACGTTTGTCATTTGAAACCAAGCTATAGGTTATGTCTGATAAGATACCAAATAAAGATGGCTTTATCAGTGGGAAGTAGTATGATTGATATTGTTATCACAAAGTTCAAGGTCACTGATACAATTTTCTAATCAAATCTAATTGTTTACTTTTCATTCTGTAAAATTATTATCTAATCAAATGTTTGTTTTACAGTCTACAAAATTAACTTGTAATTTTGATAGGACACATTAGATCATATATTTGATTAAACTTTTACAGTCAGCCTTGATTAGACTTGAAAATAGTTCATATACCAAATGTTTATCATCTACTAAAGACATGAAAGAGTTATCCATTGTTCTATTGTTTTTATTAAAAAAGGACTTTCTGGGAAATATGAAAATGAGTAAAGACATAGAATTTATTTGTTGGTGCAGAATCAAAATCATCCAATAACTTGTAGTGATTTGTAATAAGATTATGATATACTACATCTAATTTTATAAGGGATATTCTACTAATTACTGTATTATCATTTTGACATGTTCACAATGAAACTACCCATATTCATTTGGAATCTGAAAGTATGAATTAAACTATCTTATAATGCTCAAGAATCTGAAACTTGGAATTGTTATTGTTGATAAAAAAATGATTTATTTTCATAAATTGTAACAACTTTATTAAATATTGGTATGCATTACCATAGCATAGATATTTTTAGCCAGTGATTACTCTGACGTCTGACATCCTTTTTTAGGACTTGATGGGGCAGTGGGACATTAGAGCTCCGTCCATATAAAAAAATTGGAAATCACTGACTAAGAATTTGAGCTGCAAGTTTCTGTCTCAAAATCTATACAAATGCAGATTCATTTTCGAGTAGATGAATCATACATCATTTGATTACTTATTTATTTTTCTTGACAAATACGTATTTTTTATGCAAGTACTAATCCCCTGTAGTACTAACAAACAAAAATTCCCTACAAACTTTATTAAATATTGGTATGCATTACCATAGCATAGATATTTTTAGCCAGTGATTACTCTGACGTCTGACATCCTTTTTTAGGACTTGATGGGGCAGTGGGACATTAGAGCTCCGTCCATATAAAAAAATTGGAAATCACTGACTAAGAATTTGAGCTGCAAGTTTCTGTCTCAAAATCTATACAAATGCAGATTCATTTTCAAGTAGATGAATCATACATCATTTGATTACTTATTTATTTTTCTTGACAAATACGTATTTTTTATGCAAGTACTAATCCCCTGTAGTACTAACAAACAAAAATTCCCTACAAACTTTATTAAATATTGGTATGCATTACCATAGCATAGATATTTTTAGCCAGTGATTACTCTGACGTCTGACATCCTTTTTTAGGACTTGATGGGGCAGTGGTACATTAGAGCTCCGTCCATATAAAAAAATTGGAAATCACTGACTAAGAATTTGAGCTGCAAGTTTCTGTCTCAAAATCTATACAAATGCAGATTCATTTTCAAGTAGATGAATCATACATCATTTGATTACTTATTTATTTTTCTTGACAAATACGTATTTTTTATGCAAGTACTAATCCCCTGTAGTACTAACAAACAAAAATTCCCTACAAACGGCCTAGGCCCTAGCAAGTCTTAAAACAGGCTGTCAGAGGTCAAATTTCAGATTACGATACCTGATGCTACAGCAGTGTCATATTCAACATTTTGATGCTTTTCTCTCTTTAGAATCATGATGAATGGAAAACCCTCAAAATTCTGCTCAGGAGGATGTAAGGCTATTGCTGATACAGGTACCTCACTCTTAGCTGGACCAACTGATGAGGTCACAAAACTGAATGAAATGATTGGTGCTAAACCATTGGCACAGGGAGAGGTATGAGACTATTGTCTGTAGTGTAACAATTTTTTATTTGCTTTTTACTTTTTACAATGTTAGGTTAAATGAAGACAAACTTCTTGTTGATACACAAGGGCCTTGATGGCAGAGTGGTCTAAGTACTGTAAATTCAGAAATTATTGCATGCATTTATTATTGCGATTTTGTCATTTTAGACTAATCTGCGATTTTAATTTTTGCGATATTGAGAAAAATCCTGTTTAATTCATATAAAAAATTTCAAAATGCGAGTTTAAACTATTGCGATTATAACCCTGTCACATTTTTCGCAATAATTAAAACATCGCAATAATTTCTGAATTTACAGTAGTCCAATTACTTTATCACTATAAAAATAAGAAGATGTGGTATGATTGCCAATGAGACAACTCTCCACTAGAGACCAAATGACACAGAAATTAACAACTATAGGTCACGGTACCGTCTTCAACAATGAGCAAAGCCCACTAGCCTTTCAACTCTGGAGGTTATTAGTTGGAATCCTGCACATGGCAGGTGTGTTTGACTCAAATCTTAATTGGATTGTTATTTTTCATACCGAAGGTCTGTAGTTTCTAGGCATTTCAGTTTCCTCCACCAATAAAACTTCAGCTTCCTCCACCAATAAAAACTGACTGCCATGAAATAACTTAAGCTTATAATGCTGAAAGTTTAACACAAATCAATCAAAAACAAATTTACGGCGGGGGGCATTAAGTTTTACCCTTGTCCGTCTGTATGTACGAACATCCGTCCGTACGTCCCAAAATTGGTTTCCCTTCTCTAACTTGAGTTTGCCTCAACCAAATGTTATGAAACTTATACACAATGCTTATTACCACAAAACACAGATCAAGTTTGAATTTTGGTGGCATTACTTTAACTGTTTTAGAGTTATTCCCCTTTATAAATGGAAAAATTGCTAAATTTTTAGTTTCCGTTCTCTAACTTAAGTTTGCCTCAACCAAATGTTATGAAACTTATACACAATGCTTATTACCACAAAACACAGATCAAGTTTGAATTTTGGTGGCGTCACTTTAACTGTTCTAGAGTTATGTCCCTTTATAAATGGAAAAATTGCAAAATTTTTATTTTCTTCTAAATATCAAAGTAATTTTTATACGACCGCAAACAAATTTTGCGGTTGTATATTGGTATGACGTTGGTGTCGTCCGGCGGCCTCGTCGTCCTAAGACACATTGGTTTTCGCACTCTAACTTTAGTTTAAGTGAATGGAGCTCTATGAAATTTTACCATAAGGTTCAATACCACAAAAGGAAGGTTGGGATTGATTTTGGGGGTTATGGTACCAACAGTTAAGGAATTGGGGGCCAAAAATAAGCATTTTTGTAACTTCCAGACATAACTTGTGTGTTAGTGTATGGATCTCTCTGACATTGTACCACAAGGTTCCATATCACAAAGGGAATGCTGGAATTCATTTTGGGGGTAATTGCCTCAAAATTTTAGGAATTAGGGGCAAAAAAAGGGGCAAAAAACAAGCATTTTTCTAGTTTCATGATAATAACTTGTGTGTAAGTGTATGGATCTTTCTGAAATTGTACTACAAGGTTCCATATCAACAAAGGGAAAGCTGGAATTGAGTTTGGGGGTAATTGCCCAAAACGTTTAGGAATAAGGGGCCAAAAATAAGCATTTTACTAGTTTCCAGACAATAACTTGTGTTCAAGTGTATGGATCTCTCTGAAATTGTACTGCAAGGTACCATACCACAAAGGGAAGGCTGGGATTGATTTGGGGGGTAATTGCCCCAAAATTTTAGGAATTAGGGGCCAAAAAGGGGGAAAAACAAGCATTTTTCTAGTTTCAGGACAATACCTTGTGTGTAAGTGTATAGGTCTTTATGAAATTGTACTACAAGGTTCCATATCACAAAGGGAAAGCTGGGTTTGAGTTTGGGGGTAATTGCCCTAAATGTTTAGGAATTTGGGGCCAAAAAGGGGCCAAAAAACAAGCATTTTTCTAGTTTCCAGACAATAACTTGTGTTCAAGTGTAAGGATCTCTCTGAAATTGTACTGCAAGGTACCATACCACATATGGAAGGCTGGGATTGAGTTTGGGGGTGATGAATCATAAGCGGGTTCAAAAAATTTCGGGGAGGGATTTTTTTTTCCTTTTTTTTTTCTTAAAATTTTCCATTTTAAATTGGTTATTTTTGATTTATATATAAAAGCAAATAATAATGATATGGTTTGAATAGGTAAATTAAAATTTTTTAAGTTCTTAGACCACATGCATTCTGTGTCAGAAACCTATGCTGTGTCAAATATTTAATCGCAATCCAAATTCAGTGCTGTATCAAGCTTGAATGTTGTGTCCATACTTGCCCCAACTGTTCAGGGTTCGACCTCTGCGGTCGTATCAAGCTGCGCCCAGCGGAGCATTTTATTAAAATTGGAGTTATCTTCCTTTGTTCATGATTATAGTTGAATCAACTACAATCAATGCTTTATACAATGCAATGTTTAACTTCCACTGATAAAACACAGATCAAGTTGAATTTGGGTAGTGTCACTTTAACCATTCTTGAGTTATGCCCCTTTATAAATTGAAAGATTGCAAATTTTTTAGTTTCCATTCTGTAACTTAAGTTTGCCCCACACAAACATTATGAAACCTATACACAATATTCATTACCACAAAACTAAGATCAAGTACAAATTTTTTGTTTCTGTTTTCTAACTTTAGTTTGTCTCAACCAAATGTTATGAAACTTATTACTACATAATACAGATTAAGTACAAAAATTTGGTGGTGACACTTTTACCATTCTTGAGCTATGTCCCTTTATAAACATAAAAATTGCTGAATTTTTCGTTTCCGTTCTTTCACTTTAGTTTGTCTCAACCAAATGTTATAAAACTTATACACAACCGTTCTAGAGTTATGCACGTTTACAAATAGAAAAATTGCTGAATTTTTAGTTTCTGTTCTCTACTTAAGTTAGCCTCAACCTATGGTTAAGAGACTTGCACACAATGCTTATTACCACAAAACTCAGATCAAGTTCAAATTTGGGTAGCGTCACTTTTACCGTTCTTCAGTTATGTCCCTTTATAACTATATGATATGCAAACAGGGGCATCATCTGTGTCCACATGTGGACACTATCCACATTTATTAATACATGTATTTACAATTTTGACTAGTCATGTTTATAGATATTTACAGCACTTTGAGCATGAAACAATTAATATGTTATATTGTCAAAAATGTACAACAAGTACATTAAGCTTTCCAAGACCAATCTTTGTAAACTTTTATACAGTTTGAAGTTCTGTTAAAAATAGCTCCAATTTGAGTTAGATTTTGAATTTGATCCTTTACAGGGTAAGAGACTTTTTGCTTTAAAATCAACATCACAGGTTTGCGCTGATTATGTAAGGATGGAAGAGCACCACCCTTAAATAGTGTGTGAAATTGATTTTAATTTTAATTTTTGTTAAATTTTAGTATGTAGTTGACTGCAGCAAAATTGACAGCCTACCACCAATAAGCTTTGTATTGGGAGGAACCACCTTCACCCTAACAGGAAAGGAATACATTCTTCAGGTAACAATATTACATCCAATATTCTATGTGAATTAAAATTATGGCCTGGAGTATTGAGCATGGAATTTTCTATTGGGTATAAGCACAATTTCCCATAAAAAAGATATTCTCAATATTATTTGTGAGGGATTATAGTTACTTTGGATTTATTATTGTTGGTGGGGGTACCAATTTTTGTGGATTTTGTGGATTTTAAGTGGACCACAAAATTAAATATTTAATGTCAACTAAGTACCAATTTTCTATAGGCTTGTATGCAGTCTTTGGGAAAACCACTAAATCAATTATTCACAAAAATACAATATTTCCTTAATCAACAAATATTGGTACCCACAAAATTAATAAAGAATCTACAGTAAGTTGTAATTGACCAAATTGATATGGTGTTGCATCATGGGATTTTATGGTTCTGGATGTTTGTGGTTGAGCACAGGTGCCGATTAGATTGATACCGAAACTCCATGATGTAATATTAAATGGATAGAAGTTAAAACGTTTGAATTATGCATTGTTATTAAAAAAACAGAGCATACAATGCAGGATTAATTTCATTTAGATTCTTTTTATTTCATTTTAAGTGTACAGTACCTTCCTGCACATCATAAAAATGTTTAAATAGCACTAAATGACACTTGCTTTCCCGTGCTCACTACAATGCTTACCCACAAGTCATATTACCTAAGCTTGCCTATACATACAGGGTTAAGACAAAAAGTTTTTTTTGCCCTAACTGAAAATCTAATATGATACTTATTGTTTTGCATTTCAGCTATCAAAGTTTGGGGTTACCATTTGTATCAGCGGATTTACGCCACTTAATGTTCCTCCCCCAAAAGGTCCCCTTTGGATTATAGGGGATATTTTTATTGGTGTTTACTATACAGAATTTGATCTCGGCAGGAATAGAGTCGGGTTTGCGCCATCTGTAAAGCGTCCTAAGTAAACCTTGCTTAGAATTGCTATTGTGTCATATCTTTAAAACTCTGTAGTCTAATATTGTAAACTAAAATTTCTCTTTAAATTCTTCAGTTCATTATGAATTTTAAATACAGTTATTTATACTTAACAGTCAATATCGCTCTTGTGAAACAGAAAATGGGAGATAACTCGTCTATGACTTAAGTTGCAAAAGTGTAGGATTATAAGAATAACTAACAGTCATTGCTAAAAAAATCTTAAAAAATTTATTTAAACTGACTATTTGGGTTTCCATCTGTGAAGGTTTGGATTAAATTTATTAAAGCGTTTGTTGATGTGGTTCATTAGTGTTTCTCGTTTTTTATATAGATTAGGCCGTTGGTTTTCCCGTTTGAATGGTTTTACACTAGTTATTTTTGGGGCCCTTTATAGCTTGCTGTTCGGTGTGAGCCAAGGCTCAGTGTTAAAGAATGTACTTTGACCTATAATGGTTTCCTTTTACACATTGTGACTTGGATGGAGAGTTGTCTCATTGGCGCTCATACCACATCTTCTTATATCTATTGATCTGAATAATTGCATAAATTAGTAGTACCCAAAGATATGATTATAAATCCATATGATAATTTGAACATGACAAAACAATAATATGACCTGCTCATGGGAAGTACAAACTTATAAAACACTTATGCAAACAAGTATATGACATAATAGTTCATATTCCTCTTCTGCTGAATTGATAAACCATATTTTTAAAAACTTTCTTATTACGCGATAGTTTGTATTTTTTTCTTCAAAATTTATAAACCAGATTTTTAAAGTGTTCATATGACACAACAGTTTATCTTTTTCTTCAAAATTTATAAATTAGTTTTTTTTTAAACTTTATATGACACAATAGCTGATATTCTTTTTCTATAAAATTTATAAACTATGCATGTTAAGTCATCTAAATGTATCTACTGAAGTCTGTTGAAATTTCTAGCCTACTTCGAAATGTAGCTTTTATGTATATCTAAGTCAGATTATAAAGAACTTACTTATATCATCAAGTGATCATCCCTATATCAGTCATAACTGGAGTCTCAATGCATTCTAAACTACAAAGATTCATGTGGCCTTTATTCCTTATGTATAAAAGTCATGACTGAAAGTTTGTTGCTATCTCAATTATAATGATTCATATGACTTTCAATCGTTATGTATAACAATCTTAAAGATATAAGTCATGACTGAAGATTTGTTGCTTTCTCAGCTCAATCAAATCATGCGATTTTCAATCATTATGCATAACCATCTTAAAAATATAAGTCATGATGGAAGGTTTGTTCCTATTTCAACTCCAATGATTGGTTTGATCTTCAATCGTTAATTATAAAAATCTTAACATGATTGGTAACAATTTTTAAATGAAACATTGGCGGTTCTGGAAGCAGATTTTCTGTTTAGAAAGGGAGCAAGTACATTTTTATGGACTGCCTTTTTTATGTAATAATTTTTTTGCAATACTGCAGGAACCCTCTCACAAATGTCAAACTGTCTGTTATCTTGATCTTCTCAATGACAGATTTCAAACTATGTAAACAGTTGGTCTATATAATTTTCCAGTTCACATAACTCCATATCCTAAATTGACCTAAAGCTTGGACTGATTTGAATTTTGGCGAGAAAAAAAGAAACAAGTTCAGATATTTCTGCTTTCTAGGTGTTTAGTACATGAATATTTAATATGTTAATTTGCTTTGTATTTCAGGTATCGCAGGCTGGGGCAAAAATTTGTCTCAGTGGATTTATAGGACTTAATGTCCCTTCCCCCTTAGGACCCCTTTGGATTTTAGGGGATGTTTTTATTGGTCCCTTCTATACTGAATTTGATCTTGGAAATAATAGAGTAGGGTTTGCACAAACCGTCCAACCTGGTCGACAATGGAATTTGCATTGAATGTACTTGACCTAATGTGCATCTGCATAAGTGATGATTGAAATACATGTGGTTGAAACCAAATCTGTTCAAAACCATGGTAAACTGAATTTACTTTTTTAACAAGAATTCATTAGTTTCTTAAATAGTGAGTTACATCAGATTGAACTGTAAAGCTGTCATTTAATGAAGCAATATTTTATTTTGGGTTTGGTTTAAGGCACTTAAAAAATGAAAAGGATACAACTTTTTAGATTTTATAATTATATAACAATGAATGATGGTCTTGTGCCAATACTATTAAACAATCAATCAAAACTACATTTGGAAAAATTATATAAAATTCAATAATTTATCTGAAATTGATAAATGTTTAGAATCATACTTGGAACTGAGTTAATTTGTATGTCAGTATTTTTTTTACATTAGAGTTAAAAAAGAAAGAGAAAACTAAAATGTCATATGTATATTTGATGCAAATTTCAGAAACCTACACAACCCTTTTACTAACAGTTTATAATGAATTTGCTGATTATTGTCTCCTAGCTGTATGTTGTCAGAAATCTTGTTCATGTTATACTTTTGATCATATTAAAATATTTTAACCGAAAAAGATTTGAAAATAATAAAAATTTCAATGAAAAAAAAAATAAAAATCAGTATATTTATTATAAGCACACAGTGTTTGAAAGAGATGTTAGATTAGCAACATATCTACATATATATATGTTTTATAATTTAGTTGTAATCTGGACGTAAATGTAGACATAAAAGATCCAGGCTGGCTGGCTTTTTTTGTTTCGTCATTGTTACTAACTCATTAACAGAATTTATAAATACTAAAAAATGCTTGCAAATTGTATGTTGCGACTAGCCCCTACTTAGCTATCTGACCGATTGTTAAACAATCATTTCAAACACAGTCAATAGATGCTCACTGTCTGCCTACACATTTTTGCAATTTTCAGTTCTAATATTTATAAATATTGTGAAAGTACTGAATATGTTGATAATTTTTGAAAAAATATATAAAAGTAATTGAAAACGGTATGTTGATCTTGTTTTATTCATAGTGATAAAATGAGCACAGAAAAACACAGTGGAATTAATATTTCTTTGTTTATGTTTATAATATTGCTAGGTTTTATTGGACTTTAGAAAATTATGAATATTTATACATGTTTGTATTTTCACAATATTTATGAATGCGTTTTTTTTTACTTAAAAGGGTATTGGAGAATTTCACTAATTTTAATAACAAGTGGATAATTTCTGCTGAAATATTCAACTTTGCATAATACATTTGTGGTAGATCTGTAAAAATGATATTTGATGTGATCTCATTCGTAAATGATGAAAATGTCTGTTGTTTTCCCTTTTTATATTTCATGTTTGTATATTTGTGATACTTTAATATATATATATTATTGTTTATGGATTTTTACATAAATATCTATGCAATGCATAAGTATGCAGTTTCATAAAAATAAGTTGACCGAGCTCTAACAAAAATTAAAATGAAGGGGCTGGGTTTTGATCCATCCTTATTTGGGGGAAAAAAATTCCAAAGGAACATCAAAACAGGTTTTCCACTAATTTTAAATAACTTGAAAATTGGTAAATTGTACCTTTGTTTACATTCAATTATATTAGCATTCCATTTAATTTTACAATCTGAAACTAATACCTTTTTCTTTCAAAATTTGGATGGAAATTCTACCTAATTATTCCTGTTTTACAAATTATGGCCCTTGATATCCCCCAATTCAAGCTTCACACATCATTTGGGATCATGTTCATAATTTGGTGAATACTTTTTATTTCACTTAGCTTTCATGGTTAATATATTGCACATAGTTCTCATGGTTAATATTTTTTTCACATAGTTTTCATGGTTAATATGATCTTTTATATTTTCACATATTTTTCATATACATACTTGTACATAGCTATAAACATCCTTATTGCCTCAACTTACCTTGGAGATTGACTAAAAGCTGAATTCCACCAACTAAACAGAACAAGCACATACCTCTGTTTAGTCTTATATTTTCTTTTTCAGTCTGGAATTATTTTGATTGGTGCATGGCATGGTTTTTGTTTAACATGATTATAAACACAGTTGAAATTTGTTATTTGCCTTGAATCAAAATTGTGCTTTCTGATTGACAGCACATGTACAGATGATACAAAAACACTAAATATATTTCTTTCTACAAAAACACAAATTTTAGAGAGCAATCAGGAAAAATTACAATGTTAACAATTTCACGAATGTATTGGTTATGGTAAGCATAATTGAATTAAAAATTTAAATGAATCAAATTTGATATGACATAGATTTTATTCAAACTTTTGTTTACATCAAAGATTTACATTCTGAGTTTCATAGAACTCAATAGTATTATCAAAAATTAATGAAGCAAAGTGTGTTGTTGGGTTAATGTTTCAATAACATATACCCAGACACTCCTCTTTATTCATGTACATTCAAAATCAGTACTGGTATTAACAAATTTCAACTGGAGCATGAACTAACTGTTGTATTAGCTTTTTCTTGTGCAAATCCTGCTTATTCTAATACAGGTCAGTCAACAAGGTCAAACAATTTGTCTAAGTGGATTCGCTGGAATAAATGTACCTGCCCCTCTTGGTCCATTATGGATTCTTGGAGATGTTTTTATTGGACCATTCTACACAGAATTTGATCTTGGAAACAACAGAGTAGGTTTTGCACAAACTGTCAACCCACAGTGAAGAATATAATTATGGAATGTTGAGAAGTTAAAGGAAGATTCCAATGGACGAAAATGCTCAAAGACTCACCGATTATGTTTTTATTCAATTATTATATACAAAAGTGCAAAAAAAAAGATTGTTAAAGTGCTTTGTTTTGGAGAATTTTGAATAAATGATTTGTGTATTTTTGTTAAAACTGGTTCTTATTATTAGCATGGTAAAGACACTGACTTCAGGACACAAGGTAAAGACACTGATGATTTTGGTCCACATGACACATTGTAAAGACACTTATTTGAGTCCACATGACACATTTTAAAGACACTGATTTCAGTCCACATGGTAAACACTGATTTCAGTCCACATGACACATGGTAAAGATACTGATTTCAGTCCATATATGACACGTTTCAGAATCTAATGCATTTCTGTGTACAGTTTTTAAAAGTACACCAAAATGAGTGATTGATATCCTAAACAATCAAATTCAACCAATAACCTGACATTATTGTCCCCTGCATAATGCATTGCGGGGGACATGGAAATACCAGGCGTTCGTCCGTCCCGTCCTGTTAGCGCTCTCACGGGTACAATTCTTGCCAGATTTTTATAAAACTTATACTATAAGTTAATATCAGCAATATCTCGGACAAGTTTTATCATGGTAGCCGATCGACTTTTTCTTAAAGAGTTATGCCCCTTGGAAATATTAAATTTATGGAAAATGGCATCGTTAGCGCTCTCACGGGTACAATTCTTGCCAGATTATTATAAGACTTATACTATAGGTTAATATCAGCAATATCTCGTACAAGTTGTATAATGGTGGCTGATTGACTTTTTTTAAAAGAGTTATGCCCCTTGGAAATATAAAATATGTGCAACACGGGGGACATTAGAACTCTGTTCTTTTATTTTCATTTTGAGGAGGGAAAAATAAAATTACCCATAATCTTTTACATTCCAAAACAGTGACTTGAGACCAAAAGGTGTAAAAATCATAAATATTTTTGAATTCTCAAAACCAATTGGACTTGAACAGAATAGCTAAAAGAGTCATTATTAGTCTACGGTCAGCTTTGCATAAGAGAGTTGCAGCTTTATTTTTTGTAATGCATCCAGTTTCTTTTCAAAATATTTATCTTATACATGTATATTAAAAAACAAGACACAAACAAACACTACTCTCTTAATGAAAAAAAATGATTTTAAATACCATTGAAATTTCATAACAATGTCATTTGTTATGATGTGTACAATAATATAGAATTTCATGATCGATGATGCATACATAGGAGAGGCTTACACTGATGTCATCCCTTGTCTCCCTCCTTTTGGAGTTCATGCAAATTCCTTGTTTCTATCCATTGTTTGCAAGTGGACCTGATATATTTGAGCAAATTTTGGTGTTCTTTGTACTGGAAGTTCTTTTGAAATCTTTAACTTATGATTTCATGCATAAAAATTTGTACTTATTTGTTTTATTTTTGTTGTTGTTATGACCGAAAATAATACTTCATATGTTGTGAATAACTATTCTGGACCACTGCAGCATAACACTAAGGTCGAGGGCAGACAAAATAAATATATATATCACTAACAATTAATCAAAGTACTAAACAACCTTCATACAAATTATGTCAGGTTTTCCATGCAGGATCTGCTTACCATTCCAGAGCAACCGAGATCACCCATGGTTTTTGGTAGGGTTTGTGTTGCTTAGTCTTTAGTTTTCTATGTAACAGTTTCGTTTTGTAGAGCAACATTACCAAGAAGGTTATACTTTAGTTTGGCTTCCTAAACTGATGTTTCTGGCAAAAAAAACAACCATGCAGGCCATTTAGAAATGGGTGTAGAAAAAATAATCTAGTAATAAATGGTATCAGACTGACATTGGACACTTAAAAACTATCCATATCTAAGGCTAAGCTAAAGAGAACTGGAGGCTCCATGAAGCCTGAATCACATATCTATAAGGCAGGTTTCACCTGACCTTGCCCTCATTTCATAACTGGGTGATCAATGTTAAGTTTTTGTGGTCAAGTCTGCATTTCGTGTACTCGAAACAATCATATGTCCACTATATTTGGTGTATGGAATGGAATGATTGTAATGTGTACATGTCAATCTGCCATGGTTCATCTGATTAGTAGATCTAATTTGCATGGTTCATTCAACAACAGTATGTTTTCATGGCTAGGTCCTTTTCTCAGATACTATAAGGCATAGACCATTTGATTTGAGGGGGGGGGGGGGGGGGCGATTTTACATCTAGCCAGATTTTTTTTTACCATGCAAACCAAACAAGAATTTTTTTTCAGTCAATCCAAAGGTCAATCCAAAGTAAGAAATTTTTTTGTTTACATCATACATGTCATACTTACTGAAGATGAAGCCAGAATATTTTTTAACAACTGAATAGGCCAGATTATATTTTTTCAAAAAACCCAGGCTCCCTAGAAAATCAAATGGTCCCTGCCTAAGCAATATGTCAACTATATTTAATTTATGGAATGATTATCAGGTCTACTTGTGCATTTGCCTGGATTCACCTCACTTTGGCCTCCTTTTCATGGTTCATTGATCATGTTTATGCAATACCTGTAATAGAACCTTTTTAGTATTGTGACATATTGGGTAATTTCTCCAAAGAAGGTTAACCGATTCTTTCTGAAATCACTCCCCTGCTTTCATGATTGATTTTATGTTGAAAAGTTCAAGAAAAATGTTTAACTAAAAGGATCACATAAATTTGACATGATCAATGATCAATGTAGTTTAGGTCAAGGTTAGATGAACCCTGTCAGATGACATGCATGTACACCTAACAATTATTCCTTACACCAATTGTTAATAGTATAAGAGGAACAGAAATATCCACGAGAAATTAACATTTACCAATTAATGAACTATGAAAATGTGGTCAAGGCTAGACAGACATGTACACCTTACAAGATCTTAAAATCATTCAATACATCGAATATAGATGACCTATTTATACCAAAACACAAAAACTTAACATTGACCAATGAGCCATGAAAATGAGTTCAAGGTCAGAGGATGCATGCCATACAGACATGTACACCTTACAATCCTTACATACACCAAATGTAGTTGACCTACTCTTTTAGTATTTGAGATACAGACTTGACCTCTAATACTTAACCTTGATAACTGATCAATGAAATTTGGTAGAGGTCAGGTAAACCTTGTCAGACAGATATGTTGAGCTTGCAAGGATCACATACTGAATATAGTTATCCTTTTACTCATACCCCTCATTTTTTTTTGACGATCAATGCTTTTGAATGGGGACATATGGTTGGAACACCACCACCCCCTCCCCCCCCTTTAAAAATGGCTGGATCCACCCCTGATGTCGCCATTGTAAGTCACTGGTCACTTATGTATTTCCTCATATGTACTTTGTATTACAGGTGGCGCTTTAAAAAAATTCTGTTTATCCTTGAAGAAACTTCAGATAATAAACTTTCAATGCTGATGGTATTTTTCAACTTTGGTATATCAAAAGTCGGCAGGTGCTTTCGTACTACGCAAATGTAAACCAGCATGGGTTTGCAACTTTGCTTATGCTGTAATACAAAGTAACAGATGGATTATGGTCATCTGCACTTCTCAGCGATATATTTAATATTCAATAAAAATCAGAGCACAGATGTTGTAAAATAAAAAGGTCAACAATATGTTTTTACACGAAAGACAATTTAAATTACTATAACTTGACAACTTACGAATAGTAATTTATCTGGTGAAGAGATGCTCTTTTAAAATAGGAAAAGAAATAGCTGATGGATATAACTTTTACAAACAGACATTAGAAGTAAGAAATGAACTAAAATTCTAATTTTTTTAAATGAGAAGTCATAAGAAGTTTTTTAAAACACTTCAAAGTCACAGTTGCATTAATTTCAGAAAATGGACAATTAAATTGTTCTTTTAGGGAGTTCAATTCACATTACATGTATCGGTAAACTAATTTTAGTTACTTTCATGGGCAAAAATTAATGTGAATTTGTCAAACTTGGATTTTTTTTTATATGAATGCAAAAACAAATTCAGAAAAATGAGAAAGAAAATCCCCTCAAATTGGCTAGATAGAAGTATCTGAATAAATAAGTTGGTTTACAGTACTGTTAATTCAGATATTTTTTAGTGGATGGATTTAATATAGCAATTGTTGAATAACCAACACAAATGCAATATAAATAATTGTAATTAAGAATATGCTACAATCCAATAAGGCTATCACATATTAAAATGTTTTTATTTTTGTGAAATCTGTCTTAACCCAATTTTTATACGACCGCAAAAATTAAAAAATTTTTGGTCGTATATTGGTATGACGTTGGCGTCGTCGTCGTCGTCCGAAGACACATTGGTTTTCGCACTCTAACTTTAGTTTAAGTGAATGGATCTCCGTGAAATTTTACCATAAGGTTCAATACCACAAAAGGAAGGTTGGGATTGATTTTGGGGGTTATGGAACCAACAGTTAAGGAATTAAGGGCCAAAAAGGGGCCAAAAATAAGCATTTTTGTAACTTCCAGACATAACTTGTGTGTTAGTGTATGGATCTCTCTGACATTGTACCACAAGGTTCCATATCACAAAGGGAATGCTGGGATTGATTTTGGGGGTAATTGCCTCAAAATTTTAGGAATTAGGGGCCAAAAAAGGGGCAAAAAACAAGCATTTTTCTAGTTTCATGATAATAACTTGTGTGTAAGTGTATGGATCTTTCTGAAATTGAATTACAAGGTTCCATATCACAAAGGGAAAGCTGGAATTGAGTTTGGGGGTAATTGCCCAAAACATTTAGGATAAGGGCCAAAAAGGGGCCAAAAATAGGCATTTTTCTAGTTTCCAGACAATAACTTGTGTTCAAGTGTATTGATCTCTCTGAAATTGTACTGCAAGGTACCATACCAAAAAGGGAAGGCTGGGATTGATTTTGGGGGTAATTGCCTCAAAATTTTAGGAATTAAGGGCCAAAAAGGGGAAAAAAACAAGCATTTTTCTAGTTTCAGGACAATAACTTGTGTTCAAGTGTATGGATCTCTCTGAAATTGTACTGCAAGGTTCCATACCACAAAGGGAAGGCTGGGATTGAGTTTGGGGGTGATGAATCATAAGGGGTTTCAAAAAATTGGGGGGGGGGGGATTTTTTTTTTTTTCCTTTTTTTTTCTTTTTTTCCTTTTTTTTTCTTTTAAAATTTTCCATTTTAAGTTGGTTATTTCTGATTTATATTTAAAAGCAAATAATAATGATATGGTAGGAGATACACACCAAACAGGATGTGTAAATTATTATATAATAAGTATTGTGCAATAGCAAGAAATTTTCCATTGCACAGTATTGCACAATAGCAAGAAATCTTCCATTGCACAGTATTGTGCAATAGCAAGAAATCTTCAATTGCACAGTATTGCGCAATAGCAAGAAATATCCAATAGCACAATATTGCGCAATAGCAAGAAATTGTCAATTGTACAGTATTGCGCAATAGTAAGAAATATTCAATTGCACAGTATTGTGCAAAAGAAGATACTTCGTATAAATTGCTTATTTCTTGACCAATTTCAATGGGGTTTTATTCTTGAATTCTTGAGGTTCTTTAATGTGCTGAACCTAACCGTGTATTAAGTTTTTGGATTTTGGGCCCCGTTTTTAAATTGGTCCACATTGAGGTCCAAAGGGTCCAAAATTAAACTTTGTTTGATTTCATCAAAAATTGAATTATTGGGGTTCTTTGATATGCCGAATCTAACCGTGTATTTAGATTCTTAATTTTTGGTTCCGTTTTCAAATTGGTCTACATTAAGGTCCAAAGGGTCCAAAATTAAACTAAGTTTGATTTTAACAAAAATTGAATTCTTAGGGTTCTTTGATATGCTGAATCTAAACATGTATTTAGATTTTTGATTATGGGCCCAGTTTTCAAGTTGGTCCAAATCGGGGTCCACAAAATTAAACTTTGTTTGATTTCATAAAAAATTGAATATATGGGGTTCTTTGATATGCTGAATCTAACCATGTATTTAGATTTTTGATTTTTGGGCCCCGTTATCAACTTTGTCCACATTGAGGTCAAAAGGGTCCTAAATTAAACTTTGTTTGATTTCATCAAAAATTGAATTCTTGGGGTTCTTTGATATGCTGAATCTAACCATGTATTTAGATTTTGGATATTGGACCATAATAGGTGAATGTCCAATTTAAAATTTTTAAGTTCTTAGACCACATTCATTCTGTGTCAGTAACCTATGCTGTGTCAAATATTTAATCACAATCCAAATTCAGAGCTGTATCAAGCTTGCCCCAACTGTTCAGGGTTCGACCTCTGCAGTCGTATCAAGCTGCGCCCTGCGGAGCATTTTATTACATAATAAAAACATCCCAAAAATTTCTGAATTTAATATCAAAATCAGAAATTTAAAAATCTGATTCAGCAACAAGAATCTTACAAATAAGTCTGATCCATTAAAAAAACATTTTTCATTGACCAGCTGTTCAACTATGATTTATTCATAGCATGTACATGACATACCATGCACGGATAGTTGGTTTTATATTTTATATCATTTCATGAATTTATTGTTGTATTGCCAAAATTTTTTGCCAAAATTTAAATAGAACTTAGATTCTTTAATATTAAACAAGGAGATGTGGTATTTTTGCCAAAGAGATAACTATCCAACAAAGTCCAAATGACATGGATTTAAGCAACTATGCGTCACCTTGTGGCCTTCAACAATGAGCAAAACTCGTACCATATAGTCAGCTATAAAAGTCACCAACATGAAACTAGAGGCTCTAAAGAGCCTGTGTTGCTCACCTTGGTCTATGTGCATATTCAACAAAGGACACTCTCCAACATTGAAGACAAGAATAGAATTCATAAGAAAAATCTCTGTTTTGTTGATCTTGTATTGCTGGTCATTTAGTCTGTTTTTGTTTCTCTCTATCTTCTTTAGTTTTTGCTCAAAACACAAAAGAGGGTAAAAAAATCCTTATTTAAGGGGCTGGGCAATCACTCCTATAAAGAGTGACAGCCTACTACCTTTAGCAGCAAAATGTGACTTGTTAGTAGATCGGACGATTTCCTCTATATTGTCTTAATTGTAGATCTTGTCTTGCTGATCATTTTTGCCTAATTTAAGTTTCTATCTATCTATCTATCTATTATAATTTTTAAGGAATAAGGCAAAAACGCAAAATATTGTAAAAAGCATCATCAAAGGGCAATAACTCTCATAAGGAGTAGGCTGACGATTTCGACAATGTAACTTATTTGTAGAACTTGTCTTGCTGATCATTTTTGCAATCTAATGTTTCTCTGTATCTATTATAGTTTTTAAGATAATAGGCAATAAACTGCTTCGCTGAGCGCAGCTGGATATGCCCGCAGAGGTCCAACCCCTAACAGTTGGGGCAAAAATCGACACAATATTCAAGGTTGATACAGGTCTGAATTTGGATTGTAATTAAATATTTGACATATTATAGGTTTCTGAATAAATGTAGTCAAAGAACTTGAAATTGGTTATATGAATTGAATTTATATTCAATTAAAGATTTCTTGCTGTTGTGCAATACACTGTGCTGTTGCACAATACTTAGTAAATCAGTTGTCAGACTATAAACAAATAAAGTTCAATTTCTTCTCAATGTCATATTTGAAATTTATGAAAATCAATAGGGAGATAACAACAATAGCTATAAATAATTCACCAAAGTTTCATGAGAACTGCTGAAAGCATTTTTGAGTTATTGTTCAAAAACTGGAAAATCACCCCTTTTTTAATGAATAAAACCCCATAACTCAGAAATGTAAAATCTAAAATTTATAAAATTCTAAAGGGAGCTTACATCAACAGATATAAACAATTCACCAAAGTTTCATGAGAACTGCTGAAAGCATTTTTTAGTTATTGTCTGAAAACTGGAAAATCACGCTTTTTTTATGAATAAAACCCTGTAACTCGGAAAGGTAAAATCTAAAATTTATAAAAATCCAAAGGGAGCTCATGTCAATATATATAAACTATTCACCAAAATTTCTTGCAAGTTGGTGAAAGCATTCTTGAGTTATTGTCGGAAAACTGGAAAATCCCCCCCTTTTTTAATGAATAAAACCCCAAAACTCAGAAACGGTAAATCTGAAATTTATAAAAAACGAAAGGGAGCTCACGTCAATAGATATTAACAATTCACCAAAGTTTCATGCATATTGGTTAAAGTTTTTTTGAGTTAATGTCCGACATGTTGTCGACGGACGGACAGACAGACGGAAGGACAGACAGGATTTTTGTAAAAGTTAACGGATGACGAAGGATGCCAAGTGCTGAGAAAAGCTCACTTGGCCCTTTTGGGCCAGATGAGCTAAAAATGTGAAACAATTCAAACAGATTGGTTTATGACAAAACAATAAACAAATATAAAATATAATTTAAGTTTTGTTCTGCAATGAAATTATTCTGTTTGTAGAAATAAATCTGGATATCTATATCTCCAGATTGAAGGGCCACACATGATTGAAACTCAGCAGCACACATCAATGAGAAATTGTATCTTGTTGGAATATTTAATATTTTGACTCAACAGTAAACCAGGAGATCCCTAAAAACTGTAACCCAATAAATAATAACACTTTTGATATACTATGTACACAGAACATGGAAGCAGTTCATTTAAATTAATTACATGCCATAAAAAGTTTGTCTTTGGCAACTTCCATAACTTGTGGGCTTACACACACGTTGGACACACTTGAGTTTTTATTTGAGATTCCATCTCGGGTCTAAGCACTATAAATCAGGTTGACGACTACGATCATCCAGATTTTCATTAGATGCATGCTTTTTTAACATATCCATAATTTTATTGTCAAATTCTTCTGGTGTTGGCTTGTTACCTGCAAAAAAGAGTGTTTTTATTAGCACAAGTAAAGTTATTTCAATCTCTAAGTAGAAAGCTGAACAACTTATATTTAAATGAATGAGTGAAAATTATTACATTGTACATGTATTACATCAAATTTGAGAAAGGTTGGAATGCAATATGAAGTATTTGATAAAGCGTAAGAAAACTTATTTTTTGGACAAATTTAAGACTTGTTTTTAGTAAACATGACCTTAACCTCAAAATTAGTCTTTACAATACTTTAGAAAATTTACATTTCGTTGAACACTTAAATTCATGGTTCACCAATAACCACGAAATCCACAAAAATTGGTATTCCACCAATAATAAAATTTTCTAAAGTATTGTAGAGGGTGGTAAAGGGTTATTTTCGTGCAATGTGTTTTGCCGTTTTTATTTCACGTGCAGCTGTGAAAAAGGTTTGTTATTCACCATGTTTCGTGAAATCGGTAAAAAGATCAATATGCAAGAAATTTTTAATTGTTTGTTCATCGTGAAATGGCAATTTTATTTCACGTTCTTCCGTGCAGATACCCCCCCCCCCCCCCCCCCCCTTACGCCACTCAATGTATGCAGACTTTGACATAACCACAAAATCAAAATTTCACTGAAAATACAATTTTCCTGGAAAATTATTATCCATGAAAATTAATGAATCACAGAACATATTAAAACATCTTGTATTTAATGCAAAAGCTGCCAAAATATGTTAATTGAGCAGGGGTTCAAAATAGTGTGAGTCCGAGGTCTAGGGACCTGTCTTTTCTAGGAGGGGACTTTTTATTTTTATTACACAGATGCTTTCAACAGGACCATTGAATTTCTTATGGAGGACCTTTCACTGAAAATTTCTAATGGTCCTGGACCTTTTATTACTTAATGCAAATTTTAACCTCTGATTGAGACATGTTTATGAAATCGTTGTGACATCGTAGGGGACATTTCTGCACTAAAGTGTCAAGATTATGCCAAACCATTCATTTATCTATAAAATTAACATAATTTAATTTTTCGCCATTTCCGGAGGCAAAATAATGGCTTATATCATATCTTCCCCTTTAGTTCCTTATATCTTTATTTCTCAACAGACCATTTACAGTGGAATATTACAGAGAACACAATATTAGTAACAAATCAACATGTATGAGAGAGATGTCAGCCCGGATCACACAACCCTTATTAACAATTTTAATAAATTCACAGAGTTTCGAAAGTATTGATTTTCTTTTACAGGTCATAAGATCTCCAAATTTAAGTGTATTTGGACGTTTTGAAAATTTTTCTTGGATTAATAAACTGCGAATGTTGGCAAATTTCCTGTATGACATTGCACAACTTGCTCCTAATGCTATCAAAAATAAAATAAACACAATACCGTACCTATGGCCCAATAATATATTTCCCAATCGTTTGATGGCTTGTTGATCAGCTTGTCATACATTGTGGTTTCTTTCGCATCAAAAGAATTTAAAAATTCAGCTGCAAACGTGCTGAAATAAATAACATAAATATCAAGTTCTTTCCAACTGATCATTTCTATAGATTGTTTTAATTTTGTAACACCAATGTACCAGGTTAGATGACCATTGAGGACTCAAAGACATGTTTAATACCACCATGTTTCTCCTTTGGCTGTCCAAACTCAGGATCCTGAATTCAGTGGATGTTGGTCACTGCCTATTATATTTGTTTTTATTTAAATCAGGCTCATTTGAATTGTTTAACATTATGTCGTATGTTGGAATCTTTTAAACAATGTGCATTGTAGCTAGCTTACTACATGGTATAGGTTTTGCTCACAGTACAGTGACCTATAGTTGGTAAAATCTACGTCATTTAGTTTCTGGTGGATAGTTGTCTCATTGGCTATCATACCATACCTTCTCATTTTTATATTGAAGTAGAAAAACAAATTATTAAATCAAGTACAATGAAGACTGAAAGTTTGACCACCACTAATGTCCCAAATGGTTGGTGAGGGGTTAATTTTCCAAATTTTCTGGCTAATAATTTTCTGCTAAAACCTTGACTTTTAACCTAAAAATCAACAGCCTTTTTTCCACCCCAAGGCACATCATGCACATTATCCAACAAAGGTTAAGACCTCAACAAATAGGCCACCAATACAATTTATGTCTATCAATACTTAAATAGGTACTGTTACTTTCACCTTTGAACTACTGACTAATAAAATGCTCCGCTGGGCGCAGCTTGATACGACCGCAGAGGTCGAACCCTGAACAGTTGGGGCAAGTATGGACACAACATTCAAGCTTGATACAGCTCCGAATTTTGATTGTGATTAAATATTTGACACAGCATAGGTTTCTGACACAGAATGAATGTGGTCTAAGAACTTAAAATTTTTTTAATTTACCTATTATGGTCCAATATCCAAAATCTAAATACATACAGGGTTAGATTCAGCATATCAAAGAACCCCAATAATTCAATTTTTGATGAAATCAAACCATATCATTATTATTTGCTTTTATATATAAATAAAAAATAACCAACTTAAAATGGAAAATCTTAAAGAAAAAAAAAAGGAAAAAAATGAAAAAAAAAAATCCCCCCCCCAATTTTTTGAACCCCCTTATGATTCATCACCCCCAAACTCAATCCCAGCATTCCCTTTGTGGTATGGTACTTTGCAGTACAATTTCAGAGAGATCCATACACTTGAACACAAGTTATTGTCTGGAAACTGTAAAAATGCTTGTTTTTTGGCCCCTTTTTGGCCCCAAATTCCTAAACTTTTTGGGCAATTACCCCCAATCTCAAACCCAGCTTTCCCTTTGTGATATGGAACCTTGTAGTACAATTTCATAAAGATCCATACACTTACACACAAGTTATTGTCCTGAAACTAGAAGAATGTTTGTTTTTTGCCCCTTTTTTGCCCCTAATTCCTTAAGTTTTGAGGCAATTTCCCCCAAACTCAATCCCAGCCTTCCCTTTGTGGTATGGTACCTTGCAGTACAATTTCAGAGAGATCCATACACTTGAACACAAGTTATTGTCTGGAAACTAGAAAAATGCTTATTTTTGGCCCCTTTTTGGCCCCTTATTCCTTAACGTTTTGGGCAATTACCCCCAAACTCAATTCCAGCTTTCCCTTTGTGATATGGAACCTTGTATTAAAATTTCAGTAAGATCCATACACTTACACACAAGTTATTGTCATGAAACTAGAAAAATGCTTGTTTTTTGCCCCTTTTTTGGCCTCTAATTCCTAAAATTTTGAGGCAATTACCACCAAAATCAATCCCAGCATTCCCTTTGTGATATGGAACCTTGTGGTACAATGTCAGAGAGATTCATACACTAACACACAAGTTATTGTCTGGAAGTTACAAAAATGCTTATTTTTGGCCCTTTTTTTGCCCCTAATTCCTTAACTGTTGGTGCCATAACCCCCAAAATCAATCCTCCCAACCTTCCTTTTGTGGTATCGAACCTTATGGTAAAATTTCATAGAGATCCATTCACTTAAACTAAAGTCATTGTCCGGAAACTAAATGCGTCTTCGGACGACGCAGATGACGACATGATAGCATTATACGACGCAAAAAATTTTGTGCGGTCGTATAAAAACTATAGGTACTTCTTTCCAAGAGTTACTCCTTAAAATTGAGAATGGAAATGGGGAATGTGTCAAAGAGACAACAACCCGACCACAGAACAGACAACAGCAGAAGGCCACCAACAGGTCTTCAATGCAGCGAGAAATTCCCGCACCCGGAGGCGTCCTTCAGCTGGCCCCTAAACAAATATATATACTAGTTCAGTGATAATGAACGCCATACTAAACTCCTTAGTTTAGTTGTGATAAAGTTGAACATATGGTTCAAAGGACAAATGTTTAGCCCGATTTTAGACTATAAATTGTTGCTTTTAATCTTGACCTAAGAATTTGTGATGTAAAATAAAAAGAGGTGTTTGTCATCTCATTAGGGAAACTTAGTATTGGTTAAATTAGAAACCAGAATTAAATCTTGCCCAAATATCAGTATGTCAATTGCTGCTGTGATCAATGATCTTAAACTTTCACCTCTTAACTCCAAAATCAAAAGGAATCTTCTCCACTTCATTAGCATTAACAAACGAAGTAAAATTTGGACTAATCATATGGTTTCTGGTTGAAAAGATAACATCTGGAAACCAAAGCTTTGCCAACATTTCAGTCTATCAAAAGCTGCTGTGAACCTGACCTTGGCCTTTGACCTGTTTAACCCCAAAAGCAATTAGGTTCTTCCTCATCCTATGTGCATTATTAAAACAAATTAAAATCAACGGTATACCATAATATGTCCCGTAAACGGGCGTATAAAAACTCATCAACGATACCAGGTATATAACTTTGTACGCCAGACACATGTTTCTTCTACAAAAGACTCATTAGTGATGCTTGTATAGAAAAAGTCAAAAGGGCAAATAAATTAATAAAGTTCGAAGTTGAAGAGCATTAAGGGCCAAAAATTCCTAAAAGTTTTGCCGAAAATACATCTAAGGTAATCTATTCCTAAGGTAGAAAATCCTTAGTATTTAGAACAATTCAATGTTTTGTAAACAATTTGTTTATAAATCTGACAATATAAACGATGATTCAAGTCAACACACAAGTGCTCAGCTCACTACTGGGCTGGGGATACCCTTGGGGTGGAAACCTCCACCAGCAGTGGCATTGACCCAGTGGTTGTAAAAAAACTCAGACACACGTTTTGTCTACAAAAGACTCATAAGTGACCCTTGAATCAAAAAAGTTTAAAGGCCAATTAAAGTATGAAGTTGAAGAGCATTAAGGGCCTAAAATTACTAAAGGTGTTGCCAAATACAGCTAATGTCACCTATCCTGGGATAGAAATCCTTAAGAGTTAGAAATAAGGTTCAAAAAGATAACATTATGGAAACCAAATTTTGCCCAAATTTGAAAAGTTGTAATGGGAAGTTTGGTAAATATATTTCTTCCGACTTGAAAGACCCCCAGACTGCATTCATCTTATTAAAAGTGAAGTCAAATTTCATGGCAACTCAGCTAAAAAGTGCCTACTAAAACTAGAAGCTGTTCAGCAACACAATAATGCAAAAATAAAGAAATCCATGTCAATTTAACATACAAATGTACATGTACAGATGTACAATTCATTTTGTGTTAACAATCTATGTACCTTAAAAGAAGACCATTTTCTAGCATGCCCCTTTTTCTACTTTGATATAATAATCTAGCTTTCTTCACTTCTAGTGCTTCCTTCTGTCTTTCCTGGTATTCAGGTAAAGGATAATCATCCTCTGTGTTATTTGTTGAAGATAATCTGTGCGACTGCAAATATACCTGAAAATATAACATTGACATGATTGACAAATTTAGAATTGGGTGTTGCATCATGGGAATTTTAATACCATGGATTTTCTAACTGGTCAATGCTTTATTGAAAGCATACATGTAGATATCAAAGGTTCCAGGGCTTCACTGAATTTTGGGTTCTTCGGACAATTACTATTTACTGGTCTAAACAAAATTTCAATGGCGTTTCCATCCACAAGAATAGGCTTCTTTGACCTATTAGAATAGAAATAATTCATGGGGCCTTGAATTTATATTGATTTTACCACAGGTTGACCCTAAATGCTGATATTTTACCACAAGTGATCCTTACTGGCGACTGACTTATCATCAGGGTTTAAATTTTAATAAACTGAAGATTTGAAAATCGAACGGTGGGATTGAAGACAGCTTTTTTAAAATTTGTTGATTTTGACTTCTGCCAGAAGACTCAGCAGGTATGTCATAAAGGGAGGTGTATTTTCATGGACAAAGAGGAACTTAGAATTGCCAATTCCAACAATCATGAAAATTAAAAAATATATATCTGATAGCTTTCAAGTTGAATTTTTAACAATTTGCAGGAAACAGTGTAAAATGATCTTCAAACACTTGAAGTCAAAATGGAAAACACTTTGCACTAAAATAATCCTTTACCAACCTCATCTGCAGGTTTGAAAAAAATTTTAATCTCAAAATCCATTTTTTTTTTTTTTTATTTTCTACACCATACAACATGTACAAAATGCATGTATCATGTATATTTTCCATATATCAAGGTCCTGCCCTTTCACTTTGCCAGGTGCAAATGTTTGTCTGTGCTCTGTCTCTCAGTAAGTTTTATTGTGTAATCAAAAGTTTGGGGAGATGCTCATAAATGGGTACTATCCCCATTTATGGATATTATACCCAAAATCGAGTATCAATTTACAGTAATCAAAAATTGAATTTTGTATTTTATAATATTGGCTGTCATGGCGTGAACGTTCAAATAAATAGCAACATTTTTCCCTTTAAGACCATATATAATTCAAATGAGAACTGAATACAAAGATAATGGCCATAGTCGTTTCAGCCTCATTCTTTTCGGCCACACTTTTTCATATTGTTATTAACACATATATATATATATATCATGTATAAACATATGCATTACTTCTTTTGAAAAGAAAATTAATTAACAGAAAGTGATTTTGTCATAAAGTGTGCATTTGCTCTGAAACAAGATGGGACACAAAACTTTCTTATGTCACGCATGATTAAAACATTAACAATTTTTCCCTTTGACTTTGGTGCTTAATAAAGACTGATAATAATACTTTATATAACAGATCCAGAGAATAGAAAATAAACAGTTTGTAGATGAAAGAAAGAATATTTTAACGACAAATCAAAACAATTATCATGTTTTATGTTTGTTCCATAACAAACATATTAAGTATTAACAACATGGAAACTAACTGCATCTAATATTTATACACCTGCTGTGTAGATTCCATTTTAACAGTATTTGTTTGATAATATGTGCTGCTAAGATTGAACTGAGTTGTTTCATTGGCAATATACCATACCATATCTCCTTATTTTTTTTTTTATAACTACCTTATCGTGTTCGATATATTAAAAACTTTTTTTCTAGTAATAATTACCATTTTACCAACGATTTGTATAGTAAGAAGTCCTTAATTTTACGAATTATCACAAATTCATACTTATTTTTGTCCTTGAATATAAATGATTAAAATGTATTTTCCACAACGTCTCTTCCTAATAACAATCATATTTCCCCCTTTATATAACAATATAAACCCCGGACTGGCAGCATTGCCGAAACAACTGTGGCCGAACTGGCAGTGTTGCCGAAATGTCTTGGATCGTGATATTTTTGTCAGTTGTCTTTGGGTAAAATGTCATCATTTACCTGAATGTTTGCACAAATATCTTGAAATCCAAAGTGTATATTTTTAACACTAGAAATTGGTACCTTATTTAGGGTAAAATACCCATTTATAGTCGTCCCACTGTCTGTATCACACTGCTCAGCTCTTAATAAAATTGCATATCACGGCTATGTGAAGTCAAATACGTTGACCCGGCCTTGATAACTTTGACCAGACATATCACTGACGTCATAATATATGAATCCACGTTGATCAGTTTGATCCAAACTTATCATGTCATCTTCCGGTTTGCTGGTGAATCAAAGAAAACACTTGTTTCTATTAAGCAAAATACGCAAGTACAACTTGATAAATCGATTATCTGGATGTCTGCATATTCATATTGTAAAATATCAGCTGCCAGACACAATATGAACACCTTTTTGAACTGTTCGCTGTGTTCACTCAACACACACACAAAGCTTCATATAATTTGTGACTCGCAGCTGATATTTTACGATATCAATATGCAGACAACCTGATAATCAGTACAAATGAGGATCTTCCCGAACCTAATCAAGACCGTATACATTTCATTATTTGTCTATTACAAGTTACATAATTTGTGGACCTTGCAAGTTGTAGTTATAAATTTGTCTTTCGCTTAACTATTATTTTACCTGACTTCTCAATAAATTTAAAGAAAAAGATTTCTTAAAAACATACTCTAGTATGTGCCTGATATGTAGATTGTCTTGCATAGGACTGACAAGCTCGAATTAGAGAGAATAATCTCATTGTCCCCCAGTCTTGTCTGCACTGAAAAGTTGTATAACAATTTTGTTAGCAGGATTAGCTCCCCTTTAAAATTCAACTAAGCGCCAAAAATTTATTAAACATAGTAGATACCGGAAAGGACATATCTAAACGTTTACAGATAGATTTCTAATGCGTTAGAATTAGGGAGCGTCTTTTTACCACAGAACATCACAGAATACCACAGAACACCACAAAATACCACAGAACACCCAAAATAACCACAGAACTTCGAAATATTAATACTTCAGACATTATTATTGTGGTTATTGTTATTTATTTTTATAATTTGACATTTATTATTCAAATAATTTAATTATTCTATTTAGGGTCGACTCACTATCGCTACGCCACCAACTGAATCGGCCTATAATTAGGTCCATACCAAAAAACACCTACATGTATTAAAACCATAATATTCAAAAATAATTTTAAAGTCACAACAATTGTAAATCTAAGGTATATTTGTGAAATTTATTTTTTAAATACATTTTAATTTTTTCTTGTTATTTTTATCATTTTTGAAAATGTTTAGATGCATGACATAAATATTTGTTAAATTTATTTTGTATATATACCAGAATTTATCGGTTTTTGGGGGTCATTTTTATTAATTTTATGTTAAGAGTAAATTAAAGAGTTGTTACAATAAATAATTAAAATATATTATTAAATATAAACATTGTTAATGTGACTTCTGATTAGAGTTGTTGTCAACAAATAATTAAACTTAATTAAAGTCATCAAAGTAATTTGTTTTAAGCTGACATTTAGAGTTGTTTCAAACAATTATTCAAACTTGGTTAATGTTTGTAGATCAAAGTTTTCTCCATTAGAATTATATATAAAACAGTCTTTTAAGGACTACCAAATACTTTCAAAAAGATATTTGAAGTTGTTGTAGGACAGAAATATTTGAGTTGACAGGGCCATATATGTAGAGGCATGTAGGCAGTTGCCTCCTTTTGCGAGAAAAGAAAAGCAATATAACAGTTTGTATGATAGTTCTCGTCCGGACACCTGACAATTGTCCAACATTGTAGAGGATCTATCTTTCCTGTGACCTCTTAATCATGCCAAATCGAAACCGAAGTTGATTCACAGTTTTTAATTCATTTGCAGTTTAATTTAATGTGATGTATGCTCAAGAATAATGATCAGGAACCATGGAAAATGGTCTCTGACAAGACTAGCGGCAACTCACATACATTAGCTTGGCTATTGAAACACTGAATAGATTCTTGATACACTTGATGAAGTTCAAAACCAAATACTATCGACAAGTCAGATGCAACATCGTATACACATACTTTACATGAGATGAAAAAAAATATCATTGAACAATATTTTCGATTTTACTAAATTTTGTATGCATGTAGAAATCGTTGAACTGCATCTTAATATCGAAAAACTGGTATATGTAGCATTTATATGTGGATTCTATATTTTTGGGTCCAAAATGTTGACCTGAGCGAGTTCACTGACGCATTTAAAGTACCAAAATCTAATAAGATTATTTTTAACACTTGTCGTAATCACCAATCAACCCAATTAACATGTCATTTAAGTTTTCACACCTGCGACATCAAATACATTTAATTGAATTACCTTAAATAATCAGGTGGCAATTATAATCCAATCAATGAAGAATTTTGTAAATATTCGATTATTTTAAAATTTATTGATGCAATTATGAGAACAAACTTGATCTTTTTTTTATAGTAATTGTTTCACAGTTAAATTATGTATATGTTAGAGAATGATAATCCCTTTCTTCATGATTAAGTACGAGCGTTAGCGAGTACTTATTATGAAGTAAGGGATTATCATTCTCTTACAAACTTAGAATATTGTAAAGTGGTCAAGGTTCTCAAATGCTCTCTTAATTGGTTGTATTTAAGAATTAGTTTCATTGTCAGTGCAATGTTTTTAATTAATGCATGACTTCCTTTTTAGGCATTTCATTTATGGATAAGTTTTAGTGATGGAAGGACTTTCTTATCATTTGGGAATTATTTTAAAAAATATGCGTTATAGATATTAGGTGACACAACAGAACAAAGAAAATGTAGGAATTGTATATGTTTCCTGATTGTGAGTATGAATGTATATCATGTAATATTTTAGTGAAGAATTATCCTTTTTTATTTTACAGTTTAAATCAAATGATACATTTGAGTTACAACTAAATTTTATTTAACAGCCAATATTTTGATCTGGCTTTTTACATCAAATACTATTTCATTATGTCAGGGAAATTTTCAAATAAAATGCCTTTAAAAGTTTTTAATATGTTCAAAACTTAAATTAAATTCCTGTTTTTTTTTAGTTTTTTTTATTTTATCGGAATATTGGAAATAACTATTCTTCCAAATTGCTGATCCAGTAATCAAAGTTTTTGAAAGCTAAATATTAAGTTGTTGTTTTTTTTTTTAATTCAAAGCTTTTTTTTTTCTTTTTTTGCAAATGCTTTGATATTGTTTAATTATTTAGTAATTTGAAGAATATTTCATAATAACATTCACGGTACCAATTTTACTGCACAGTAAACTTCAACTTATTTAGAGTTTTTTCTTTGTTTCACAATTTAACTTTTAGTCACTGTGTGATAAATCCTTTCAATCTGATAAATGTGCTTCGAGGCAGTTGTAACTCATTTATAGAAACTCTTTGTTTTGAACTGTAAATGGACCCAAATAATAGGATAATCCCTTACTAAGAACATGATTTGCATTCATTCTTCACAACTAAGAGGCATCAGATCCTACTATTTCATTGGTCGAGAGCACTTTGCTATATTCTAATGCTTAGTTAATCAAAAATTCGTAAGGGGTTCAGCGGAACCCAGTGTCTCGCCTGCAATTGCTGCTGTCAGTGTAAAAGTGTAATATTGACTCAAATGTGGCAATAAAAAAGGTTTGACAAAGTTATTGATGATTGAAAAATTTAACCTCAGACTGAATCTGCATGTTTTTTTGTAAAAAAAAAAACTAAGTCCATTTATCAGTAAAATACTGAAAAAAAAAAAAAAATATTTTCAAAATTTTGCTCTGGATACTGTATTTTAGTCATAAACAAGCTTCTGTCCAAGTTTCCTAAAACTCCATAGAGGTTTAACAAAGTTATTTATGTCTAAAAAAAACTTCAACCACAGACTGAACCTAAATGTTGACGCCGACGTCGGAATCTAGGATCGCTATGTCTCGCTTTAGCGACATAAATGTCGCAGGCTTGACAATAAAAATGAAGCAATTGTACAGCTGACATGCTGTCATAATACATCTTCGAAAATCGTTAACTTACTCACGTCTGAACACTATACGATTGATGCTTATTCGGCTTGATTAAGCCGTATTTTTTTTGTTTCGTAGACTTTTAACTTGATATCATCATTAAATATTAATGTTTATGCCTTTATACTATATTTTGGTTCAAATAAGAAAAAATCAGATAACGGGGTTAATAGTTAAATTCTTATTTTTATATTAAGTTAGGCATTTGTGTACTGGAGATAATTGCAAGTTTGCGTTCTTTCCTTCCTGTGCAGATCTCTCAATACTTACTTTTACTATCTATCGTTTTCAAGAACATATTCCTTTCACCATGCATTAAATGCAATATTCTCCCCTTCGAACGTTTGAAAGTATTTATAAGAGGGTGTAAAGCCACATTTTCCGTTGATTTTTCAAGAACCTAGTGGGTCATATTGTTTTGATTTTCTTCGCACGAAAAAGTAAGATATTTGATTGCTTTTGTTTTTATTAATATATATATATATATATATCACTCGGGACAGATTAGAACTTGACCTATTGTATAAAACTTAAAATGTCTATTGCTGAAAACTCGAGATATGTTGATCTTTAGATGTCTTTTGGTATTTTTGTCGCTGGTTTGATGTTTCACTGACGTATAATCCACATATCCATGTATTCATATTCTTCAGCGTTGTCATCCCAGTATGTTGCTAGGTAGCTACTTGATTTTACCTGATTTAGGAATACAGACAATCAAGCAGTCTTAGATATTTCAAGTGAGTCTCTTGTATTTATAAGTTAACCATGCAGCTTTATCTTGCGTCTCATTGGTTTTTTCACTCACATCCATGTAGATGATCAGGTATTATGATATAATTTCAGGATTAATATTGAGTTATGATTTTCTACACAGTACAGAATTTCTTGTCATTTTTAAATATTATAAATTCTCTATCAACTACCCAAATTATTTCCGTGTGTGAGTCCTGGGACTTCTATAACACAGTAGTATTGGAGTCGGGCCCGATACTGTGGTGTAGTAGTCTCAAAGTAATCTCAGGTCAGTCTTGATATGACTATGTGACAAAACTAGGGTAGTGCTAATGATAAACATGATAAAAGACCACTAAACATATAGTAAAAAAGGAAATCACAATTTTGAAGGAGAAAACGCTATACTAATTTGATGATCACTTGAAAAGGCGTTATTCGGGGTTGGTATGACAACAAATATTTAAAAAGGAAAAAGGGAAAAATATCTTTTAACTTCCAGTACAGCATATTTCAAGGTCGAATGGGAAATCTTTGAAGAGATGGCTGATCCTTTGCTTTCATTTTTTTTTATATGACAAATAAAGTACGTTATAGTATACAACTTTATAATTGGGTTAAAGGTTTTGAGACATACCATAGCGCCATCTATATACAGATTCTGCACCATAATAAATATAAAAAGAACTAGAAAATTTACAGAAGAAATGTATTCTGTGATTGTCTAGAACCCCAAAACCATTGCTGGTATCCGCAAAGTGAGTTTCGAATGAACAGAAAATATTGTCATTTGTAACAGGTGTTATTTTTTTTGTGGTTTTCATAATTTCAATGCAATACCTCGCATTTGTTGACACATTTATTGACACATGATTTCCTGTAGCCCTTATGGACCGATTACAAATCATTGTATGTGTTTGTTATCTTATATAGAACTCAATTAATGACACGAATATCCGGCAGTCATAAATTCAAACTGATTTAGGCTAGCTGTACATCTATTATCCAAGAATGCAACAGAAAAAATAGAATTGACAGATCTATATACATGTAAATGCAAAAAAAAAGCAATATAATTTTGGGTATCTCAAATGATTATAGATTATATCAGCACGGCTTCCATGCACACTTGATTTATTCCCTACAGGTCTAGTTATTCCCCCTGGAAAGTGAGTTGTTTCATCCCATATCTTGTTATTTTAACAGTTGAGTCTTAAATCAGTTTGTCTGGTTAATCTCCCCTCCAAAAACTTCTGCTTATTTAATTACTCTTCATTGCACATGTTGAAGTCAGATTTATTTTGAATCAATTTCTAGGAAATAAGAGACTTTCAGATGCATGCAAATATCTGATATATATACAATAAAATACTTTTAAAGAGACATTAGCTTTCATATATTCATGTTCACAGATTCGACTTAGAATTTTATATTTGATTTAATACATACTAAAACGTATATCCAAATTACAATAAGTTCTAAAGAAACAATTAATAATGCATGGACTTGTTATATTGTATCAGTATTTAGTGTGTAGTTTAGACTAGAGGCCATCTTATTAACCATCAAGATGATCTCTTAAGAATACTGATGTTTATATCACCTGATATAAACAGAAATATAAATACACAGACAAGTAACTGCAATAGTATATAGATGATTTTTCTCATTCTGATTGATTTCATGTCAGATTAAAAACATGCACTGAATAAGGTTATGTGCGATTTTGTCCCATGTACATTTACTCCATATACTTTTATTTTCTATTTACCTGTATAAGAATATTTTTTTGTGGGCAGAATCAGCCAACAATAATTGTGTACATAATTTTAATTGTAAATTGGCGAACGTTTTAAATGTAAATAACCTTGAGAAGAGTTGTTGCCTTGCCCAGCACTGCGCTAAGTTTTCGCGGGACCATACACATTCAAAATGAATTCGGTTCCTTACTTGGAAGAAGAAGAAGAAGAACAAAAGCTTTCTTCCTGGTGGCAGTCTTGTTTCACTTTTCAAAGTTGAATATTCTTTTCTTTTTAAAAACATGAAAAAGTTAACATGCTTAGCACATGCCTAACCCATCTCCAGTTAAGGGTCAAATTGAAGTTTGAATGAATACAAATTCAAATGAGGTTGAATTATTGACTTGCAAGCCAAAAATACATCAGCAATGTTTTTGAGTTTATTTTGAAAATTGAACCAAAATTACTGGCAACAGCACAATATTATTTCATATTTAAGGTCGAATGGGAAATCTTTGAAAAGATGGCTGATACTTTGCTTTCATTTATTTTTTTTTATATGACAAATAAAGTACGTTATAGTATACAACTTTATAATTGGGTTAAAGGTTTTGAGACATACCATAGCGCCATATATACAGATTCTGCACCATAATAAATATTAAAAGAACTAGAAAATTTACAGAAGAAATGTATTCTGTGATTGTCTAGAACCCCAAAACCATTGCTGGTATCCGCAAAGTAAGTTTCGAATGAACAGAATTATTGTCATTTGTAACAGGTGTTATTTTTTTGTGGTTTTCATAATTTCAATGCAATACCTCGCATTTGTTGACACATTTATTGACACATGATTTCCTGTAGCCCTTATGGACCGATTACAAATCATTGTAGATGTTTGTTATCTTATATAGAACTCAATTAATGACACGAATATCCAGAAGTCATAAATTCAAACTGATTTAGGCTAGCTGTACATCTATTATCCAAGAATGCAACAGAAAAAAATAGAATTGACCGATCTATGACTATATAAATGCGAAAAAAAAGCAATATAATTTTGGGTATCTCGAATGATTATAGGTTATATCAGCACGGCTTCCATGCACACTTGATTTTTTCCCTACAGGTCTAGTTATTCCCCCTGGAAAGTGAGTTGTTTCATCCCATATCTTGTAATTTTAACAGTTGAGTCTTAAATCAGTTTGTCTGGTTAATCTCCCCTCCAAAAACTTCTGCTTATTTCATTACTCTTCATTGCACATGTTGAAGTCAGATTTATTTTGAATCAATTTCTAGGAAATAAGAGACTTTCAGATGCATGCAAATATCTGATATATACAATAAAATACTTTAAAGAGACATTAGCTTTCATATATTCATGTTCACAGATTGGACTAAGAATTTTATATTTGATTTAATACATACTAAAACGTATATCCAAATTACAATAAGTTCTAAAGAAACAATTAATAATGCATGGACTTGTTATATTGTATCAGTATTTAGTGTGTAGTTTAGACTAGAGGCCATCTTATTAACCATCAAGATGATCTCTTAAGAATACTGATGTTTATATCACCTGATATAAACAGAAATATAAATACACAGACAAGTAACTGCAATAGTATATAGATGATTTTTCTCATTCTGATTGATTTCATGTCAGATTAAAAACATGCACTGAATAAGGTTATGTGCGATTTTGTCCCATGTACATTTACTCCATATCCTTTTATTTTCTATTTACCTATATAAGAATATTTTTTTGTGGGCAGAATCAGCCAACAATAATTGTGTACATAATTTTAATTGTAAATTGGCGAACGTTTTAAATGTAAATAACCTTGAGAAGACTTGTTGCCTTGCCCGGCACTGCGCTAAGTTTTCGCGGGACCATACACATTCAAAATGAATTCGGTTCCTTACTTGGAAGAAGAAGAAGAAGAACAAACGCTTTCTTCCTGGTGGCAGTCTTGTTTCACTTTTCAAAGTTGAATATTCTTTTCTTTTTAAAAACATGAAAAAGTTAACATGCTTAGCACATGCCTAACCCATCTCCAGTTAAGGGTCAAATTGAAGTTTGAATGAATACAAATTCAAATGAGGTTGAATTATTGACTTGCAAGCCAAAAATACATCAGCAATGTTTTTGAGTTTATTTTGAAAATTGAACCAAAATTACTGGCAACAGCACAATATTATTTCATATTTAAGGTCGAATGGGAAATCTTTGAAAAGATGGCTGATACTTTGCTTTCATTTATTTTTTTTATATGACAAATAAAGTACGTTATAGTATACAACTTTATAATTGGGTTAAAGGTTTTGAGACATACCATAGCGCCATATATACAGATTCTGCACCATAATAAATATTAAAAGAACTAGAAAATTTACAGAAGAAATGTATTCTGTGATTGTCTAGAACCCCAAAACCATTGCTGGTATCCGCAAAGTAAGTTTCGAATGAACAGAATTATTGTCATTTGTAACAGGTGTTATTTTTTTGTGGTTTTCATAATTTCAATGCAATACCTCGCATTTGTTGACACATTTATTGACACATGATTTCCTGTAGCCCTTATGGACCGATTACAAATCATTGTAGATGTTTGTTATCTTATATAGAACTCAATTAATGACACGAATATCCAGAAGTCATAAATTCAAACTGATTTAGGCTAGCTGTACATCTATTATCCAAGAATGCAACAGAAAAAAATAGAATTGACAGATCTATGACTATATAAATGCGAAAAAAAAGCAATATAATTTTGGGTATCTCGAATGATTATAGGTTATATCAGCACGGCTTCCATGCACACTTGATTTTTTCCCTACAGGTCTAGTTATTCCCCCTGGAAAGTGAGTTGTTTCATCCCATATCTTGTAATTTTAACAGTTGAGTCTTAAATCAGTTTGTCTGGTTAATCTCCCCTCCAAAAACTTCTGCTTATTTCATTACTCTTCATTGCACATGTTGAAGTCAGATTTATTTTGAATCAATTTCTAGGAAATAAGAGACTTTCAGATGCATGCAAATATCTGATATATACAATAAAATACTTTAAAGAGACATTAGCTTTCATATATTCATGTTCACAGATTGGACTAAGAATTTTATATTTGATTTAATACATACTAAAACGTATATCCAAATTACGATAAGTTCTAAAGAAACAATTAATAATGCATGGACTTGTTATATTGTATCAGTATTTAGTGTGTAGTTTAGACTAGAGGCCATCTTATTAACCATCAAGATGATCTCTTAAGAATACTGATGTTTATATCACCTGATATAAACAGAAATATAAATACACAGACAAGTAACTGCAATAGTATATAGATGATTTTTCTCATTCTGATTGATTTCATGTCAGATTAAAAACATGCACTGAATAAGGTTATGTGCGATTTTGTCCCATGTACATTTACTCCATATCCTTTTATTTTCTATTTACCTATATAAGAATATTTTTTTGTGGGCAGAATCAGCCAACAAAAGCTTTCTTCCTGGTGGCAGTCTTGTTTCACTTTTCAAAGTTGAATATTCTTTTCTTTTTAAAAACATGAAAAATTAACATGCTTAGCACATGCCTAACCCATCTCCAGTTAAGGGTCAAATTGAAGTTTGAATGAATACAAATTCAAATGAGGTTGAATTATTGACTTGCAAGCCAAAAATACATCAGCAATGTTTTTGAGTTTATTTTGGCAAAATTGAACCAAAATTAATGGCAACAGCACAATATTTTTTCATAATTCTGCTTTTATAAATGTAACAAAAAAAAAACTTATTATCCTCTGCTGTGGAGGAAGGGGCTTTAAGTGTTACCAGTGTTCCCGCTTGCCCTAAATAGAAGGGCGGCCCGCCCTTGGTGCCTTTAACCCCGCCCTTCTGCCCTCCAGCCCTCCAAAGCAAAAGAATGCACCCCTCTGCCTTTTTAAAAAAATAAAATTTCCAAATTTCATGCCTATCGGCGTTTCCGGTAAAATTGTTACCTGATTGTGTAACACTAATTAACTGACAATGGGATTAAGTTAAATACCTAATGCCTTTAACAGTTTTATCATCTTTGTTAATGATTGTTTACTGCTAATTAGTGGATTTAGGATAATTGAACAAATACTAGATATTTAATACAGAATTAAATGTCCACATGTTATCCATTTGTAATGTTTATGTACAGCATGTACACCTGAAAAAATTTATTTCAGTAGGCATAATAAAAAAAATAAAATCTAAAACAATTTTAAAGGCACACATAGTTTTGACTTAATTAGTAAAAAAAAATGTTTGTTTCATAACCATGAGTATCAAATTTAAAGAAGAATCAAAGAAATTTGTACTTTGAACATAACAAGTTTGCACCACTTCCTGTTTTACTTCTTGTATTTTATAATCCTCCTTTCATAGGAGCACTCAACAAATGCTTTTAAATTTAACAATGATGGAGAAAAAAGTAACTGTTTATACCTTCTGCAATATATGAAATATATTATTGCATCAATATAATATGATCATCTCCTGTCTCACCTGTTATATTTATAAAACTCCTTACTTAGGAGCACTTTGGTGTGCAAGTAAAATACTTTTTTGTAACAATTGAAATGATAATAAATAACTTTAATAACAATATACCATATGTTTGTTCAAGCAATTAAATGTAGATAATTTAATTAGATTAAACATTCAATTTTGCATGTATAACTCCATCTTTCAAAACATACTTGTTTATTTTTATAGACTGGTATAAGTTATAAAACATTGAAATTTCTGATGATTATTTTCCTTATCAAATGTACAAGTTTGTTTAGATTAACATCAAAATGATATGCTTTGCTTCATAGTATGATAATTTGATAAAAAAAAATTCTTACTGGAACCAACATCAAGAACAGATTAATTTCTGAATATGGTTTAAATACAACTAATGTTCTCCAGTTGAGCCTAGCAATATTCAAGGTAATTATTTATACACTGTCCAACAGTGCCCTTACAATCTAGGTTATTACGATAAAATGCCCTTTCAGACAACTAGCACCCTTCTGCCCTGAGATTCAAGCTGGAACACTGGTTACCTTTTTTTGCGTCCCTACTTACGTCCCAATATAAGTTTCTATTTTCTAATTTTAATTTGCCTCAACCAAATGTTATGAAACTTGTACACAATGCTTATTACCAAAACACAGATCAAGTTCAAATTTGGGTAGCGTCACTTTTACAGTTCTCTAGTTATGTCCCTTTATAAGGTTATATGCAAGCTGGGGCATCATCTGTGTCCCTTTAACACATTCTCCATTTATTTATTAGTATAAAACAAATCTATGAATTTTGTTCTGAAATATGTTTTAATAAAATTTTAATATTGTAAAAGTAAATTCTTTCTAATCTCATTAAGGTCATTGCTAGTGCTAAAATATGATGATCTATATGTTATTACAAATATATATTTAGAAATTAACCAGTTTTAGTATATATGTTACAGTGAATTTGTATAATCAGGGATTATGTAGAATCCCTGATTTTTCACATAAAAATCAAATGGTAGCTCCCTTATGAAACCTCTTAGTGTATTTTGTGTTCAAATGAACAAGAAATTCAAACTGAGAGAACTGACGCAACTAAATGTATAGAAAAATTCGTAAGGGTTCCGCGGAACCCAGTGTCTCGCCTACTTTTGCTGTTGTCTATGTTTTCAGTGTGATAGGAAAATGCACATGATAGATTTATTTAACAGTTACTGAAACGGTTTATGTATCTAAAAAATGTTTTAAAAACTTTAACTGCAGACTGAATGTAATGTTAGCTGGAAAAAAAACTAAGTCCATTTATAAGTAATGTACGGATAAACAGGAAATAATTTGTTTTTAAATTTCTTTCTAGATACTAGCTTTTGATCATAAACAAGTTTCTGTCCAAGTTTGGTACAAATCCAGGATAGTTTAAGAAAGTTATTATTTTTTTTTAAACTTTAACCACAGAGTGAATGTAATGTTTGTTTTTTAAAATATTGTGCTTAATATTTTAATATTATATGCTTAATAATTTCGTATATTGTTCCTAACATTTTGATATGTTGTGCATAACATTTTAATGTATTCAAGGTTATCATTTTAACATATTGTGCTTTACATTTTACAATCTATATGTTTATAATGATGTTTTAATATGATTTTAAGAATGAATTATTTAACTTTTATCCATTTTCTATATAAATGAAACTAATTCTTCATTTCAGTTATTCTGTATAATCCCTGACATTTTTTCTAGTGATTATACATAATCCCTGAAAATTTTAGTGATTATATATAATCCCTAAACTAACCAGTGATTCTACATAATCCCTGAACATTTTAGGGATTCTACATAATCACTGATTATACAAATTCACTGTAACATATACATACACATAATAACTAGGATTAAATCAAATCAGCTGTTACAGTGTATGCTTAAAAAATGTTTAATATCACATTAAAAAAGTTCTTTTTGACATTTGAAACAGCTTCTTTTGTTTAAGAAGTGTTAACATAAAATAGCAGCATGTGCTTGCATGAAAGTAGTGTTGGTAAGCATCTTTCAAGTATGTTTGTCCTGAGACAACTCCCTGTACAATACAGTAAACAGACAGATAGTCACAGGACAAAAAGTCACAGGACAGAAAGTCACAAATTTGATAGGACAAAAAGTCACCAATAATTTGTTTAGAATTGTTTGAATATATATATAAGAGAAAGTTGTTGAAAACTTGAAATAATTTCTTTTTATCGCATATATTAATTTTACAGCTAAGGAAATCATTCATAAGCCTTGATAAATGAAGATTTATTAAATTTTACACATTCAAAGGATATATTTCTTGACACATTGAAGCCATTTAACATGTTTAAGTACCAAGCCACTGTGACAAATTGTTTTCCTAACAATAATATTATCATTGTTTTTTAGCTCACCTGACCCGAAGGGTCAAGTGAGCTTTTCTCATCACTTGGCGTCCGTCTTCCGTCGTCGTCGTTAGCTTTTTACAAAAATCTTCTCCTCTGAAACCACTGGGCCAAATTTAACCAAACTTTGCCACAATCATCATTAGGGTATCTAGTTTAAAAAATGTGTCCGATGACCCCGCCAACCAACCAAGATGGTCGCCATGGCTAAAAATAGAACATAGGGGTAAAATGTAGATTTTGGCTTATATCTCTGAAACCAAAGCATTAAGAGGAAATCTGACATGGGGTAAAACTGATTATCAGGTCAAGATCTATCTGCTCTGAAATTTTCAGACAAATCTGACAACCTGTTGTTGGGTTGCTGCCCCTGAATTGGTAATTTTAAGGAAATTTTGCAGTTTTTGGTTATTATCTTGAATATTATTATAGATAGAGATAAACTGTAAACAGCAATAATGTTCAGCAAAGTAAGATCTACAAATAAGTTGTCATGACCAAAATTGTCAGTCGACCCCTTTAGGAGTAATTGCCCTTAATAATCAATTTTTAACAATTTTTCGTAAATTTTTGTAATCTTTTACAAAAATCTTCTCTGTAACAACTGATACAAATTTAACCATACTTGGCCATAATCATTATTAGGGTATCTAGTTTAAAAAATTTGTCCGATGACCCCGCCAACCAACCAAGATGTCCGCCATGGCTAAAAATAGAACATAGGGGTAAAATGCAGTTTTTGGTTTATATCTCTGAAACTAAAGCATTTAGAGCAAATCTGACAGGTGGCAAAAACGTTCATCAGATTTAGATTTATCTGCCCTGAAATTTTCTGACAAATCCGACGACCTGTTGTTGGGTTGCTGCCCCTGAGTTAGTAATTTTACAAAAATTTTGCAGTTTTTTTGTTATTATCTTAGATATCATTATAATACATGTAATATCTAATATCTAATACTATTAATTATGATTTTAACCTTATTTTACATGATTTCTAAAGCATCAGTAAATACAGGTGAGCGACACAGGCTCTTGAGAGCCTCTAGTTTATTTCAGAATAAATTTTGTTTACAAAGTTGCTTTATGTATAATAATTCAATAAAAACACAATTCATATTTCTAAAAATAAGTGTTTTTTTTATTCAAAGAAAAATAATCTCAAAACTGAATTGTGACTTTTTGTCCTGTGACTTAAAGTCTTTCTGTCCTACATTCGTACAATACACCTTCGAGATCTAAATAGAGCAAATTTCCCTGTCCATGGCTGAGGCTCTTGATGCGTATTTTCTGTATCTTTGATTTAAGATTTCTGATTTCTCCTTTGTTTCTTCACACTTTTCTTGATGTTAATTTTTTTGTTTTATTTTTAGACTACACCCAAACACTAGGAAACATGTAAAGTGGGAAACAATATAACCGATACAACAATGGACAGGATGGAGGATCTCAATGAGATCCCATTTTCTGTTGTTGGCCAGACAGCCATGAATAGTCTGGCAAATAAATTGGATCCAGAAATGTCTGTGATTGGTAACAACTGGAGAGTCCTGGCAGAAAAGTTAGGCTTTTCTACAGAGCATATTTTAGTAAGTATAAACTATATTTTAGGAAGTAAATTACATGAACAGAGCATATTTTAGGAAGTAAAAGCATATTTTAGGAAGTACAGAGCATATTTTAGGAAGATCAAAATAATTTAGTAAGTACAGAGCATATTTTAGGAAGATCAAAATAATTTAGTAAGTACAGCGCATATTTTAGGAAGATCAAAATAATTTAGTAAGTACAGAGCATATTTTAGGGAGATCAAAATGATTTAGTAAGTACAGAGCATATTTTAGGAAGTAAAGAGCATATTTAGTAAGAACATGTACATTATATGTATCATATCAAACATCAAAAGAAATAGAACATGTAGGTGTATACTGCGTTCAAAAAGGTGCTAGATTGTGAACTCATTTTGGTCCAGTAGCATGGACAACTATTTTTATTAGTATGAATAGGATTTGACTGAACAATCAATAATTATGTAACTTAAAATTCAAAGAATTATAGTGGACATGTGCTTTAGTAAGCATCTCATTCTACCGGTCTGTCAAGCGTTTACATGTTTTGGCTGTCAGACTAGTTTCCTTTGTCTACTCTTTGTTTATCCAATGTAATGACTTTAATGCTTTTTTCTCAAATTTTGCCTTGATCTGTTTTTGTAATAATTTTTCATATCAAGCTACACGAATGATATAGGTTTTTCTCAGTCCAGTAGAGAGAGAATTTTTGATGTCATGAGGTGACGTGTACTTAATTATGCCCTTAAGCTTGGAAGCATTAATTATATGGAATATTGCATCATTAGCGATCTCACAATTTTTGCCAAAGTTTTATGAAATTTATATCAATATTCATAGGTTTATATCAGCAATGTCTTGGACGAGTTTGAAAATCAGTGCCAATCAAGTATTTTAAAAAGAGTTATGCCCCTTGGAAAATAGTTTCGGTAAATTATTTTTAAAAGGGTAATGCCCCTTGGAAACATTAATTATATGGAAAATTGCATCATTAGCGCTCTCATGTGTACAATTCTTGCCAAATTTTTATGAAACTTATATCATTGGTTTATATCAGCAATGTCTTAGACGAGTTTGAAAATAAGTGCTGATCAAATATTTTTAACAAGTTATGCCCCACGTAATTTCATTTCTCTAAGATATTTATAAAAAGTTTTACAGAACAAAAAAAAGTGTTTTGTTTTAGGAATGGCCCGTGTACCTTGGATATAAAAAATAAGTGCAACGGGGGACACTGGAACTCTGTTCTTTTATTTTCTTTATATTTCATTTGTTAATTATTTTTGTATTTAAAAGTTCAAGGCCATGCAGTGACCTGTTGTTGTTTACATCCTTGTCCTGTAGGTCTGTTTATACCCTGGCCTTGACCTGTAGGTCTGTTTATACCCTGACCTTGACCTGTAGGTCTGTTTATACCCTGACCTTGTCCTGTAGGTCTGTTTATACCCTGGCCTTGTCCTTTATTGTAGGAAAGATAAATCATTGTTTTTCAAACCATTTCTCCTTAATTTAATATTGTCACGCCAAATCTTATCTTTTTTTAAAAAATGGTAAGAAGTAGGTTACCTCCCCTTTCCCATGTTTGCAGCAACAGCAAATTGGTTTTGTTTAAAAGAAAGTCTGGCCAAAATGAAAATGTGTATGAAGAATTAGACATAAAATATATGGGTCAATATAAGGTTTTTGTGTTTTGGTCTGCTTTTCATATACATGTACTATAAAAATAAGCAATAGGTCAACCATATTTGGTGTATGGAATGATTGTAAGGTGTTTATATCTGACTGCAGGTATCATCTGACCTTGACCTCATTTTCATGGATCATTGGTCAATGTCAAGTTTTTGGGGTTATGTCTGTTTCTAAAAGCAATAGGTTTACTTTTTTTGGTGTATGGAGTTATTCATGTTATTGTAAGGTGTACGTGTGGTTCTGGCAGGGTTCAATCTGTCCTTGCCTGATTTACTTGGATCATTAATAATGTTAAGTTTATGTGATATTTATAGAGAAAACCTTTATCCTAAAAACTTCCAACATGAACTCAATCATGACCAGTAAATAAACTCATCATAAATACCAGGATTGAAATTTTGTATTTGTGCCAGACGCGCGCCTCGCCCACAAAAGACCCACCAGTGACGCTTGAATAAAAAAAAGTTAAAAAGGCCAAATAAAGTACGAAGCCGAAGAGCACTGAGGACCAAAAATTCCCAAAAGTAAACAACAACAACAACAATACTTAATTTTAAATTTGATTTAGGGTTACACAGTAAGCTATGTAACTAATCTTCCCTAAGGCCCAAAACAAAAATACAAGCATATATGGCATACATTTGTATAAAAGTCAAGTACATGTATAATGATAATGTTCAATACAAATGCATAAAATGTTATGCAAAAATAAACATGATGTTCAAGGTAGTTGATATTTAAAAATTGACATTTGTTAAGATATAGGCAAATTGTTCCACAGGGATGGTCCAGAATGCATAAAAGATTTCTTGAACAAAAAAGCTGGCGAGATATTTCAGCGTGTGCTCTCTTGTCCTCATTATGTGTGCATTTCAAGATTCTAATTAAAGGTTCAACTGTGGTCAAATGTCATATATTTTCTTTTGTATATGTAAACAATCAGATAATAGACCATTTTCATAATATCGACTTTTGACTCCAGAATTTATATTTTTTCGACAGGTTACCTATTCTGTGGTAGGACATCCTGGTACTTAGTCAAGTAAGAGTAACGTAAAAAAGTAAAATCAAGCTTTCAATCGGTACAATTTTGGGGAGAAATTAACCGTTTTATGTTTTCTATACACGACAAAATCATCAGAAAACAGTAAACTTTCCCCCCAAATTGCATTGATTATATATTTGATTTTACTTCTTTTGGTTGCTCTTACTTGACAGAGTACCAGGATGTCCAACCGCAGATTAGGTAACCTGTTGAAAAATCATATAATCCGGAGTCAAAAGTCGGTAATATGAAAATAGTCTTTTTACTAAGAAAAATCATCAGAATTTTAAAAAACCTTTTGAATCTAGGTATTTACCTGTTTTAATCAGGTTATAGTTATATTTTCCGGAGGTTTTAAGACAACCGCAGCATACTTTGGTATCCATCCTGATTACTCTACCAGCCTGTACTGTCAGAAGATGTTGGTTCACTCGATACATGTTTAAATCATTGTTAAAAAAGACAAACCTTTTCTAAGACACATTACATGATACTTGATAATGACTATACAGTGGTTTCATAATTTGTGTGAGACCATTATTTGTTGATTTCATAATAAAGGATTAACCTCAAATTTAAATGTTCAAATATGTACAAATTTTCTATAGGCTTGTATGAAGACTTGAGCAAAACCACAAAATCAAATATCCACAAAAATTTTTTTTTTTCCTCAATCCGGGATAATTGTACATACTCAAATAACAATAAATGAATCCACAGTAACTACTGATTCAGAAATGACATTCATTTTTGCTGAACTAGTATCCATTATTGTTTAGGGGCCAGCTGAAGCCCGCCCTCAGATGTGGGATTTTCTTTCTGTGTTGAAGACCCATTGGTGGCCTTGGGCTGTTTTCTGCTCTTTGATCGAATTGTCTCTTTGAAAATGTAGAATTACAAAAAAACAGAACTCCAAGGAATATTCAAAACGGAAAGTCTCTTATCAACTTTGTCGCATTCCCCGTTTCCATTCTCAATTTTATCATAAAAATTTAAACTTTATACTTTTCAAAATATGTAAACAAAACATATTTACTATAATATTGTGTTATTGTGGACTCTGTTAGTTCACTAGAGAGGGTAAAATAAGGAATTATTTGAATCTGGAATAATTTTGAAATCTAGAAAATTGATGAGAAAAGTATGATGAAAACTAACTCAACTAAAGAGGGTTAGCCATGCACACATTCGTCACATTGCTAAGATTAACATCACTTTCACTGATATTTTAGTATGAACTAACTAACCCCTTTAGCCAAATTATTGCATGCATGGCTAACCCTCCTAAATTGGGTTAGTTTTCATCATATATTTTTTATCAATTTTCCATAATTCAAAATTATTCCAGGTTTAAATAATTCCTTGTTTAAAGATTTTTTTATTTAGATTTGACCCTGCCACGTGTGCCTTAAACAAGTCTTTTACTTTAATTGACCACAGGGATTTGCTTTAGACATTTAAGAGATTTATCACAGTTTAATGGTCAGAAACCCCAATTTTTCTAAAAAGAAATGTTGCAGTGAATCTTGTGAATACATATGATACAGTTGTAACAATATTATGTTTCAAGCCAATGGCTTACATATTTGTTTTTCTTCAATCTTTTTTCCTGAATATGCATGAAATATTTTCCACTGGACGTTAAGCAACGAACAATCAATCAATCTTCAATCTTTGTATCAAACATAAAGATTAAAAAGTAGAAGGATAATATATATTAATGTTTTATTAGATCAATATTATAACCAGGTTTAGATTTCTTGTACTTTTCGATCCTTTAGGCAACATTGTTGGAAATTCGTGATACAAACATCCCTAGGTATATACCTGAATGACCTTTTGACCCCAGATTCTGAACTCCTGTCAATACACTTGTAGTAATTATTCAGAAAAACATGCATTTGTATGTTTATAATTACAATATTTTCACCTGTGCAAGCTGATATATTTTCTCAGGTGAGATAAATATTAATTTGATATGTAACCAGGAAATTAAATAATCCTTATATCATATTCGCAATGATGGACTTTTACGTGAGTAGTGCATGAGGGTGTCATGTTTCTTGAATAATTATTGAATTTTTTTTTTCAATGTAAGATTTGTAATTAATTAAAATAATTATTTGTTTATGTACTGTTAAGATTTGTTATTACAGTAATTAGAATAATTCAAAAATGCTATGACTTGGTTGATGTATTGAAAAAACTTTACAAATTTATAAATTTTGAATAAACAATTAAAAACTGTTTGTACATCCATTGAAATATATAACATGTAACAAAAACGCAACAATTCAAGTAGATTATGTTGTTGACCCAAATTTAACTACAGATTTTGTAAAAATATGTTATACTGAAGCTTAAACTTATATTCCCAAGTTATTGTTTACATGTGCAATATGAATAAAAGATGGAAATTCTGGGGGTAAGGTCATTGACCCCAAACATGGTCTATGGTGAACTTGGCCAACTTCCTCTCGAAATTAGTATCAAGATGAAAATGATTTGTTCCTGGTACAAGCTTGTAACAAACGTTGATAAACTGTCTGGTAAACTCTACAATGTTTAATTTATTTGAAAATGGAAATAATTCTTTTAATTGGATCAATTATGTAAAATCTATTTTTGATGAAACTGGTAACAGTGAAATTTGGCATGTACAAGGAAATGTTAATTTGAACTTTCTGAAAATTAACGTTAAACAAAGACTCCATGACCAGTTCATACAAAAATGGTTTTTGGATATCGATAAATCATCAAGGGGGAAATTTTATTCAAAATTTAAGATTGACTTCTGTATGGAACCCTATCTAATTAGACTTAGAAAGTTTAATAGACTTAATATTTGCAAACTTCGCACATCTTGTAACATTAAATTTCCAATCGAAACGGGGAGATGGAATAGAATTCCAGAAATTGAAAGAAAATGTAAGCTTTGTAAGACTGGTCTTGGGGATGAGTATCATTACATAGTGCTTTGAAACAGTGCTGATATTATTGATTAAGAAATTTATATATTTCAAATTGCTATAGTATCAACCCAAATATCAACAAACTTTATGGAATTTTGAATTATTGCAACTTAAATGTTAAACCTTTCTATTTTCATCCAAACAGTAGAGAAACTGCTGCTTTCTCTATAAATCATCACATGTGTACTATATATTACACTTTTTGTTACTATCCATTATCATTTGATTGTGTTCATGTGATCATGTGGTTATTTAAACTTTACAGATTGCACGGACTTTTTGCTATCTGGTCAATAGATTTAGGTATACATTTAGTTTTGTAAAAATATTTATACTGTTATTAAGTATTCTTCTCATTTTGCATGGGTGAAAAAAAGCAATTGATATTTTATTTATTTTCAAACACCATCTGGTATGGAGTATAGTTATTTAATCATTTATTTTTAATGTAATATATCTTAAAAATTACTGTATAATTAATACTATATATATATATGTATATGCTCGGAAACGGGCCCTTTAATTGGATTCAATAAATATTCTTATTCTTATTCTTCTTAATCAAAATATGAATTTGAATTTTTTTATTCGTAGAACCTTGATTGCCGACAGAGCCTTCATGGTCGAAATACTCTGAAGTTGTTTGAAGATTACATAAAACGCAATGGGAATTCTGTCGGGGCAGTTAGGACAGCCTTAGTGGACATGGAGCGGGAAGATGCTGTAGAGGCTTTAGAGGAACACATACCTGGTATTAATATTCTCTGGATTCCTTTATGAGGGTCTGCAGGGGTTCAAATTTGCTTTAAATAATGAAAGGTCCAGGACCATTTGAAACTTTTAAGTGAAGGGTCCTCCATAAGAAATCAATGGTTGTGTATCAAGCATCAGTGTAATGAATGGTAGGTCCTTGACTTTTGTGATTTAAAAAAGAAAAGTCCTCTTCTAGAAAAGACAGGTCCCAGACCTCTGACCCACACTAATTTGAACCCCTGGTATGAATGGGGTTTACAGAATCTTGAATAACCAGTAGAGAACAGAATCTCATACCATAAATCTGTTTTGATGCATAAATGCCTTAAGTTATGAAGCCCCGGTATATTTAACTGAAAAATTTATCTCAATGCCAGAAATTCTTTGAGGAATACACCTTTACAAAAAATTGCAAGTTCCAAAAGCCAAAACAGAGCTGTATAAGAAATCTATTATATATATTCAGATCTGTTTTATGGAATAACTTAACAATATCCCTAAAAATATCCCTAAAAAATCAACTGCAGGTACAAGAGCATTTAAAAAAGATTTAAAAAAATACATGTTGGAACATTAAGAAGCTGTGTAATTCTATATGCATAATAAATTATTTTCACACACTTACTCAAATATTATTGATGAATTTGAATGATGCTAATACTATACATGCTATATGAATTCATCATGTTAACTATTTTTACCTGTTTTGAAAATTGTATGTTTCATAACAATTTCTCATTTTTCTTATGTGTGAATTTGTTTGATTATTTTGTAATTTTCTGTTTGTTATATTTCAATGTATTTCATGAGGGCCTCAGGGAAGATTAGTTTTTAAACTAACTGTGTAACCCTCTTTAAATAAAGAATTATAATTATTATTATTATTAATAATAATTAAGGAATGACTGTAATATTTTTTCTGTCTATTTGAAATAACAAAATAACAGAAAAAATATTACAGTCATTCCTTATAATTTAATTCTAAATTCCATTTTGAAGGAAGAAATCATGAAAAAACGCTGATGACGTCACGGTCACATGACAAAATTATGTCTATGAGCTGATAGACAAAAATCACAAGACGTGTAACATCCAAAATTAAATTATTGGGCAATAGATGAACAAAGAACAATGACATAGAAAAGAAAAATAGACACCCAAAAACCACCCCCCTATCCAGCCCCTCATTTCTGGATAGAAATTTGAAGATACCAGATGGTGGTCAGAGGTTATAGATAGGATTGATAAGACCATGTTCACAAAAAGGGGGGGGGGGGGGGGGGGAGCAGACACAATTGGATGCTGATGCAGATCTTTGGTGTATCTGTTCATTTCCTTTATAAAAAATTGAAAACAACACGTTTAATAATTTCATGCGTCCGAAGCGCTTTTCTGGATTTACCTTCATCAGGAACGCTCAAAGCCAAACATTTGAAATCCGAGGGATGTATAAGTATCGCAACAGTTGAAGAGCTATACGACAAAAATACCTAAAATAAATAGCCAAATCCATCTAAGGTGAACTTTGCCTGAGAGAGTTGAAACCTTAGTTTCTGTATAATTTCAAAATTTATAAACGGGCAATTTTAGAAAAGTTTGTTATAAATCATGTCAGTACCGAAGTACTGACTACTGAGCTGATGATACCCTCGGGGACTGATAGTCCACCAGCAGAGGTTTCAACCCAGTGATGTAAAAAATTGAAAACAACACGTTTAATAATTTCATGCGTCCAAAGCGCTTTTCTGGATTTACCTTCATCAGGAACGCCCAAAGCCAAACATTTGAAATCTGAGGGATGTATAAGTACCGAAACAGTTGAAGAGCTATACGACAAAAATACCTAAAATAAATAGCCAAATCCATCTAAAGTGAACTTTGCCTGAGGGAGTTGAAACCTTAGTTTCTTTATAATTTCAAAATTTATAAACGGGCAATTTTAGAAAAGTTTGTTATAAATTGTCTAGACAAAAAAGAAATATTTTTTTCAACAATCCTGTCTACACCTCAAAAGGTGCAATTATATTGTTTAAATTTTACTGAAATTTTACTTTCTAATCAAAGATTTCAATGTTATTTGAAAATTGTGAAATTCAAATCATGTGAATGGAATAAACGTATACTGGGTGGTACGAGTAACAAGCTGAATTATCTCAAATTTAAACTATCCACTGAGTTGTCTGAGACACCAGAGAAAATGAAGCAATCATTGGTTTTGGACATTTTCAATTTGAAGAGATCAAGAAGATTTTCATCTTTTCAATCTGAAGTTATTACAAATGCCATTATAGTAGATATGGTAATATTGGATTATTAAAAGTGAAACTTCACCAGGACTGCTCAAAGCCAAGCCTTATAATGACAATGGATAAACTTCAATTTGTCGTATCATAAAAACTTGAATTTGTAAGGTACTGAAGATTGGACCTTTCAACATCAACTTAACTATCAGTTAACCGGTGAATGAAGATTGGGTCTTTAAACATCAACTTTAATCGGGCCTTGTTGATGTGTGATAGGAGGGAGTGTCATCCAGAATTCCCCCAAAAATAAAGAATTCTCTCCCAGATCCTGAAAAATTGCTCATTGATTTCTAAGTCTCGATAAGGGTAAATCTGAATTCACCCAAAAATAAAGGCCCAATCTTGAATTCCCTCATAAATAAAATCCTAACCTACATCCTGAAAAAGGTCCCTCCGCCCCTCCTTGTTGACCTTATTTTATTAATATAAAAATAAGGAGATGCCGTTTGATTTTTGATAAGACAACTATCAAGTCCAATTTGAAAAAATTATTTAATGGCAGAAGTTTGTGCTAGTGACAGTGAAAATGAATATCTATAAACTTACATAAGTCAGTATACTGTGGATTCATTTATTTTTCGTGGATTGTGGAAAACTTGCATTTTCGTGGATATTTGATCTCATGGTTTTTCCGATTTCAGCATGCAAAGCCTATAGAAAATTTGTAATTCTTGGCACATTTGAATTCGTGGTTGTACTCACGAAATTCACTAAAATTGGTATCCAATGAATAATTGTGAATCCACAGTTTTGAGTCTTTCTCCAATATATTTATATGTATCTAATTACTTCCATCAAAAGAATTTAGTTCAAGCAGACTTAATGAAACACTCTGTTTGCCTTGTCAAAACACTCTGTTTGCCTTGCCAAGGGTTTTTGCATGGGTTCAAGAAATATCTACATCATGAGATGTTGTATGACCTTATAAGATAAGGAAATGTGGTGTGAATGCCAATGAGACAACTATCCACCAGTGACCAAATGACAAAGACATGCAGTGTAGAAAAGTCCTTGACCTGCATAATATTATGGTCAGCAAGTATAACACATAAAAGGGGCCTTGGTGGCCGAGTGGTCTAAGTAGTCAAACTACTGTATCACTAGCCAGCTTGTGAGTTTGAATCCTGCACATGGCTAGTGTGCTCGACTCCAATCTAAATTGACTAGGATTGTCAGTTTTCCTACCAATGGTCAGTGGTTCTCTCCATTCACTCTGGTTTCCTCCACCAATAAAAAACTGACCGCCACAAAATAGCACAATAGTGCTTAAAGTGGTGTTAACCACCAATAAATCAACTATAACACATAAAGATCACAATTTACATACATGTAAGCATTAAAATAAATAAAACAGCACATTAGCGTTACACCATGGATTTTATTAATTTGTATTCTTATTTTTATACGACCGCAAAAAAATTTTTGTGGTCGCATATTGGTATGACGTTGGCGTCGTCGTCGTCGTTGTCGTCGTCGTCTGGCGTCGTCCGGCGTCGTCCGATGACACATTGGTTTTCGCACTCTAACTTTAGTTTAAGTGAATGGATCTCTATGAAATTTTACCACAAGGTTCAATACCACAAAAGGAAGGTTGGGATTGATTTTGGGGGTTATGGTACTAACAGTAAAGGAATTAGGGGCCAAAAAGGGGCCAGAAATAAGCATTTTTGTAACTTCCAGACATAACTTGTGTGTTAGTCTATGGATCTCTCTGACATTGTACCACAAGGTTCCATATCACAAAAGGAATGCTGGGATTGATTTTGGGGGTAATTGCCTCAAAATTTTAGGAATTACGGGCCAAAAAAGGGGCAAAAAACAAGCATTTTTCTAGTTTCATGACAATAACTTGTGTGTAAGTGTATGGATCTTTCTGAAATTGTACTACAAGGTTCCATATCACAAAGGGAAAGCTGGAATTGAGTTTGGGGGTAATTGCCGAAACGTTTAGGAATTAGGGGCCAAAAAGGGGCAAAAAACAAGCATTTTTCTAGTTTCAGGACAATAACTTGTGTGTAAGTGTATGGATCTTTCTGAAATTGTACTACAAGGTTCCATATCTCAAATGGAAAGCTGGGTTTGAGTTTGGGGGTAATTGCCCTAAACGTTTAGGAATTTGGGGCCAAAAAGGGGCCAAAAAACACATTTTTATACGACCGCAAAAAATTTTTTGTGGTCGTATATTGGTATGACGTTGGCCAGCGTCGTCCGAAGACACATTGGTTTTCGCACTCTTACTTTAGTTTAAGTGAATGGATCTCTATGAAATTTTACCACAAGGTTCAATACCACAAAAGGAAGGTTGGGATTGATTTTGGGGGTTATGGTACCAACAGTTAAGGAATTAGGGGCCAAAAATAAGCATTTTTGTAACTTCCAGACATAACTTGTGTGTTAGTGTATGGATCTCTCTGACATTGTACTGCAAGGTACCATACCACAAAGGAAAGGCTGGGATTGATGATGGGGGTAATTGCCTCAATATTTTAGGAATTAGGGGCCAAAAAGGGTAAAAAAACAAGCATTTTTCTAGTTTCATGACAATAACTTGTGTGTAAGTGTATGGATCTTTCTGAAATTGTACTACAAGGTTCCATATCACAAAGGGAAAGCTGGGTTTGAGTTTGGGGGTAATTGCCCTAAAGGTTTAGGAATTTGGGGCCAAAAAGGGGCCAAAAAACACATTTTTCTAGTT